AAACTCTTGAATTTGTTGCGTTTCCCAGCACTGCTGGAATTTGAGAACAATTAAATATTTCATTTCAAATATATGGTAAACCCCGTTATGTGACTGTTCAACCTTTTAGCTTAATTCACTTATTACCTGGGAAATACACGTTGCCCGGTCTTGGGGTTGGGATTTGTGAACCGCCTTCTCCTGGTTTAGATTACTGTGCCCGCTGTGACTGCTGTTGTGGCTGCGGTGCCCTCGTCCGTGGCTGGTGTAGTGCGTCTGGGAGTGGTGAGGGTGGAGCGAGCTGCTAGTGGCTCCGGCTGCACCGCTGGTGGCAAAAGCTTTTCCGGCCGCCACTCCGTCGGGCTGCTGTAGGCCACTCTGGTCCGCCCGCAACCAAAATTCGGCCGTTGTACCAGCCGTTTCATGGATTGCCCATAACTGGCCTTCAGAGTGGACGTTCTGCGTCCTTGCTGCATCTGTTGGGTGGCCACATACGATTGGCTGGTTGGTTGTATGTGGCTGTGGCATAGTAACGCAAACACTCAGGCCCACGGCCACCGGTGAGATGCGTGGCGGCTCTGCTGCCGACATGATTGGCGGTTGTGACGCTATCGGCGGACGCACTGTTTGATCCTAGTGTGGTTGCCGAGTCTGATACAACCACGGGGAGTGAGTGATTGAGATTGGTGCGCTTTCCCTAGGCAGGCACTGTGCAGATGATCTTACGCCGCTTTCCAGCTTCCAGTGTCGCTGGCTGGCACTAATTTGACAGCTCCAGGAAGCCACCTTTAAGTGCTCTCCGCACAGGCTGTGAAACTCCGTGTCCATGGACTCGATCTACAGCTCGTCGCGCTTGCACTGCTTGAAGAAGAGGTGCGCCTTCTTGTCCAGCGAGTCCGTGTTGCCTGTGGATAGAGTGGATGAGGGATTAGGTGCTGCAACCTGATGCTGTTTGGGGAAACTCACTTTGCACTGCAAGATCGAACACGTGCATCTTTGTGAAGCGGTCGTGCAACTCCTGGGGGCTCGAACATCTCCAGGTAGAGCATGTTCGGTGTTGCTGCTAGGTCCAAGAAATAAGGCAGCAAGAATTTACGAACTATATTTGCAGGATGATTTTCACAAAATTAGCGGCAGTGTGCCTGCAAAGTTTTACCTACGAAATGCCAAATTTTCAGTATTTATCGTCAAGAAATTTATCACGATCTGAAAAATATCGATAGTTTAGAGCTGCCAGACTGTTAAAACGTTTAGATTTTTTACATTTACCTTAACTGGTCGCACTTATAAAGTTATCGATAGTTCAGTGCTGCCAAACTCTTGAATTTGTTGCGTTTCCCAGCACTGCTGGAATTTGAGAACAATTAAATATTTCATTTCAAATAGAGTTATTAATATGATCAGGAAAAATTTAAAGTAATATATGGTAAACCCCGTTATGTGACTGTTCAACTTTTTAGCTTAATTCACTTATTACCTGGCAAATACACGTTGCACGGTCTTGGGGTTGAAATTTGTGAACCGCCTTCTCCTGGTTTAGATTACTGTGCCCGCTGTGACTGCTGTTGTGGCTGCGGTGTCCTCGCCCGTGGCCATGTCCGTGACTGGTGTAGCGCGTCTGGGAGTAGTGAGGCTGGTGCGAGCTGCTAGTGGCTGTTGGGTGGCTACATACGCTTGGCTGGTTGGTTGTATGTGGCTGTGGCATAGTAACGCAAACACTCAGGCCCACGGCCACCGGTGAGATGCGTGGCGGCTCTGCTGCCGACATGATTGGCCGCCTGGGCTTGCGCGGTTGTGACGCTATCGGCGGACGCAGTGTTTGATCCTAGTGTGGTTGCCGAGTCTGATGCAACCACGGGGAGTGAGTGGTTGAGATTGGTGCGCTTTCCCTAGGCAGGCACTGTGCAGATGATCTTACGCCGCTTTCCAGCTTCCAGTGTCGCTGGCTGGCACTAATTTGACAGCTCCAGGAAGCCACTTTTAAGTACTCTCCGCACAGGCTGTGGAACTCCGTGTCCATGGACTCGATCTACAGCTCGTCGCGCTTGCACTGCTTGAAGAAGAGGTGCGCCTTCTTGTCCAGCGAGTCCGTGTTGCCTGTGGATAGAGTGGATGAGGGATTAGGTGCTGCAACCTGATGCTGTTTGGGGAAACTCACTTTGCACTGCAAGATCGAACACGGGCATCTCTGTCAATCGGTCGTGCAACTCCTGGGGGCTCGAACATCTCCAGGTAGAGCATGTTCGGTGTTGCTGCTAGGTCCAAGAAATAAGGCAGCAAGAATTTACGAACTATATTTGCAAGATGAAATTCTCTAAAATAACGGCAGTGTGCCTGCAAAGTTTTACCTACGAAATGCCAAATTTTCAGTATTTATCGTCAAGAAATTTATCACGATCTGAAAAATATCGATAGTTTAGAGCTGCCAGACTGTTAAAACGTTTAGATTTTTACATTTACCTTAACTGGTCGCACTTATAAAGTTATCGATAGTTCAGTGCTGCCAAACTCTTGAATTTGTTGCGTTTCCCAGCACTGCTGGAATTTGAGAACAATTAAATATTTCATTTCAAATATATGGTAAACCCCGTTATGTGACTGTTCAACCTTTTAGCTTAATTCACTTATTACCTGGGAAATACACGTTGCCCGGTCTTGGGGTTGGGATTTGTGAACCGCCTTCTCCTGGTTTAGATTACTGTGCCCGCTGTGACTGCTGTTGTGGCTGCGGTGCCCTCGTCCGTGGCTGGTGTAGTGCGTCTGGGAGTGGTGAGGGTGGAGCGAGCTGCTAGTGGCTCCGGCTGCACCGCTGGTGGCAAAAGCTTTTCCGGCCGCCACTCCGTCGGGCTGCTGTAGGCCACTCTGGTCCGCCCGCAACCAAAATTCGGCCGTTGTACCAGCCGTTTCATGGATTGCCCATAACTGGCCTTCAGAGTCGACGTTCTGCGTCCTTGCTGCATCTGTTGGGTGGCCACATACGATTGGCTGGTTGGTTGTATGTGGCTGTGGCATAGTAACGCAAACACTCAGGCCCACGGCCACCGGTGAGATGCGTGGCGGCTCTGCTGCCGACATGATTGGCGGTTGTGACGCTATCGGCGGACGCACTGTTTGATCCTAGTGTGGTTGCCGAGTCTGATACAACCACGGGGAGTGAGTGATTGAGATTGGTGCGCTTTCCCTAGGCAGGCACTGTGCAGATGATCTTACGCCGCTTTCCAGCTTCCAGTGTCGCTGGCTGGCACTAATTTGACAGCTCCAGGAAGCCACCTTTAAGTGCTCTCCGCACAGGCTGTGAAACTCCGTGTCCATGGACTCGATCTACAGCTCGTCGCGCTTGCACTGCTTGAAGAAGAGGTGCGCCTTCTTGTCCAGCGAGTCCGTGTTGCCTGTGGATAGAGTGGATGAGGGATTAGGTGCTGCAACCTGATGCTGTTTGGGGAAACTCACTTTGCACTGCAAGATCGAACACGCGCATCTCTGTCAATCGGTCGTGCAACTCCTGGGGGCTCGAACATCTTCAGGTGGAGCATGTTCGGTGTTGCTGCTAGGTCCAAGAAAGCAGGTAGCATCAATTTACGAAGTATTTTTGCAAGATGATTTTCCCTTAATTAGCGGCAGTGTGCCTGCAAAACTGTTACCTTCAAAATGCCGACTTTTCAGTATTTATCGTCAAGAAATTTATCACGATCTGAAAAATATCGATAGTTTAGAGCTGCCAGACTGTTAAAACGTTAAGATTTTTACATTTACCTTAACTGGTCGCACTTATAAAGTTATCGATAGTTCAGTGCTGCTAAACTCTTGAATTTGTTGTGTTTCCCAGCACTGCTGGAATTTGAGAACAATTAAATATTTCATTTCAAATAGAGTTGTAAATATGATCAGGAAAAATTTAAAGTAATATATGGTAAACCTCATGTTATGTGATTGTTCAAGTTTTTAGCTTAATTCACTTATTACCTGGGAAATACTCGTTGCCCGGTCTTGGGGTTGGGATTTGTGAACCGCCTTCTCCTGGTTTTGATTACTTTGCCTGCTGTGACTGCTGTTGTGGCTGCGGTGTCCTCGCCCGTGGCTATGTTCGTAGCTGGTGTAGTGCGTCTGGGAGTGGTGAGGGTGGTGCGAGCTGCTAGTGGCTCCTGCTGCACCGCTGGTGGCTTAAGCTTTTCCGGCCGCCACTCCGTCGGGCTGTTGTAGGCCACTCTGGCCCGCCCGCAACCAGAATTCGGCCGTTGTACCAGCCGTTTCATGGATGGCTTCATAGCTGGCCTTCAGAGTGGAGGTTCTGCGTCCTTGCTGCATCTTTTGGGTGTCCAATAACGCTTGGCTGGCTGCTGTGGCAATTGCACTGGAAGCGCACACTCCTCCGCCACGCTGCTGCAGGTTGTATGTGGCTATGGCACAGTAACGCCAAAACTCACGCCCACGGCCACCGGCAGGGTGAGATGCGTGGCGGCTCTGCTGCCGACATGATTGGACGCTTGGACTGGCGCGGTTGTGACGCTAGCGGCGGACGCAGTTGACGATCCTGGTGGGGTTGTCGAGCCTGATGCAACATTATCTCCAGGTAGGGCATGTTCGGTGTTGCTGATAGATCCAAGAAAAGGCAGCAACAATTTACGAACTATTTTTGCAAGATGATTTTCACTAAATTAGCGGCAGTGTGCCTGCAAAGTTTTTCCTTCAAAATGTTGAATATTCAGTCTGAAGCAGGAAAATTTCTCTTACAGTAGCTGGTCACACTTTAATTACTCGTGCTGTACACATTATTGATAGTTCGGAGCTGCCAGACTGCTGAAGCATATATATATACCGCACTTTTTAAATTCGAATTCAAATTTTTTTTTATTCGGGAAACTATTATCTTAATTACCGTCTATTGCTTACCCCTCACTGTCTTGTGTCGCAGCCATCGTTTGTATAGTGGTAAGAATATGTAACGTGACATAGCTAGATCGACTCAAGTGTTGATGCTGATGAATAATATATATGGTTTATATGGTCAGCAATGACTCCTGACTAAAATAATGATATCCCTCAAGGGTTTATAAAACACAGAAAACACATCAAAATTACACCTAAAGCTAGGATGCTCCCATCTCTCGCTCTCTTAACCCGACCACTGGTTGTAGTTGTAGGGCTCATTGGCTGCACAGAGATTGGCATAGGCGGGATTGCGCCCCGTGGTGCACTCTCCGGCGGCGGCTCCTGCCCGGTATACGGGGTTGTTTATGACATTGGTTACGGCATAGTTGCAGGCCAGCAGGGTGGCCTGCACGTTGTTGGCGTCCGTAAAGCGAGCGATAGCACAGCCCACCCGGTTGTTGCGCTCGTTCACCATGGTTGTGAAGTGACCGATGGCCCTGCAGGTGGGACAAACAAAGTTTAAGTTCATTACGGGCCGGATAAAGATTAGAAAAAGGTGGAATACACACGGTCCGCCCCGCATCTGGTAGTTCTCAATGTCGCCGCTGGTTGCATCTCGGTTCTCGTCGAACCAGGCGGATATTCGCTGGCGCAGGAAGTCCGTAATGTCCACTGTCCGTGAGAAGAGTATGCTGAGATTCTGTCCCGCAAAGCGGTATGTGTTGGTATTGCGACACTCGTCGTGCGCCATGCGGCACTGGAGGGCATTGTAGGCGGCCAGCTGGGCCAGCGTTGCATCCCAGGCCATGGTGGCCATATGCACGGCACTGGTAAAACCGCTGATTCCGCCGCCAGCTATCATGTTGCGACGCTCATTGTGTAGTTGCAGGATCAGCTGGATGTAGGAATTCACGTGCACGAACTCGCCCCGACAACCGTTAGCAAAGCGCTGTAAAAAAAGTAATTAGTATTTATGTTAATATTTAGATAGGAGTAACCTACTCCGCTGTTCTGACAGGCCACATGACGACCTCCAGAACACAGCTCCGGATCGCAATAGTTTTGGCCATAGGCTGTCAAGCCCATTACGGTCAGAAGCAAGAACCCAGGCAGGGCTTGACAGCGTCTCATCATTGACTCAAATGCGCGAATATTCAGACTTTTGGAGGTATTTATAGGGTACAGACACAAATTCAATGAATGAAAAGGAAATTTTTTTATGACATACTATATATAGGCCCGCAGCCTGATTTTTTGTTGGCAAAACGTAAACAAGTTAGTGCCCAATGCAAAACAGATACAGCGCAGGCCTTAGAGCTACTCCATTGTACTTAAATAGCGAAAATAAAACCATGTACAAACAGGGCACAATGGTGAGGCATTTCCATATTTAAAAACAACTTTCTGAATATTATTTATATTAATAATATAAAACATTTAAAGGAATATCTTTAAAAAAGTTTAAAGTACTTCATTATAAAGATCTTGTACTTTACTGGCCTGCCAAATCGTTACATGTTCGACTGGCAAGTTTATTTCGCAATCATAACAAGGCAAAACAATCCATTCATCGGCTTTTAAAACAATATTTTGTATGAATTAACTCAAGGGTAGTATGTCGGTTTACGGCGACCTTCTCGTTTCTTTTCGGCCCTGGCCGAAGTGCCCGTGGCACATACTCCTTGTCGTGCTGGTCGAGGGTTCGTCTCCACGGATTCACATCCAGCTCAAAGAATCGTCGCTTTGCCTCCATTGCGCGGGTATTATTATCGATCTTGTATAGTTTTTCCCACATGTACGTCTCCGGCAGTTCCAAGTGACGCGGACGGTTCGAGGCCAAGTGTTTCACAGTCTTGGCAATAAACTCGCGTTGTTCCGCGCTGTCATAGGTCGAAATATGAGAGGCTACGTACGGTTGTTCCTCCTGTGTGCTGCGCCGGACACTTGGCACGTTGGCGTACATGTTTATTAGCTGCCTCAGCACGACGTCGTTGAAATCCACGCACTTGCCCTTTGGCGATATCTCGGCGTACAGGGGCAAGGGTTCGGTCCCGCGGCAGAAGTTTACCCGCGGGTTTCTATCCACGTTGTCGCCGTGCACCAGCAGCGTGTTCAACTGGTAGTCGTAGAAGCTCCACTCCCGACCATTTGTGATCACAGTCTGTGTGTTCAGGGGATAGGTGAGCTCGTTGTACGTGTTAAAGCCATTGTAGTTGGCCTGGGCGAGAAGCCACGCGTACGAGGATTTGATAGCCAGAGCATCGAGGGCCTCCAGCAGATCGCGCTCACCGTATGACGTCGGTCGCAGCTGCAGGTGCGCCCTTGACTGGAAGGAGAGCAGGCCGAAGTTCTGGCCATTTACACTGGGCCAGTAACCGGGCACGTTGGTGGCATGCTGATGCTTGGTGCTGTAGCCTAGGGTGCGGGCGTCGTGCTTAAAGCGCGGTATTTGTTTGCTCAACTCAACGCTTTCGCTCTCTGCCGGTGTCTTCCAAGGCGCCAGTTGGTGGCGATGGCGCAGGGACAAGTACGGAGCACCCGTATATTGCACAAGCCGGTCGACGGGGTCGTTCGCCGCATCCTCCTGCCACTTTTGGCCCTTCTTCGACTTAACTACGTTCTTTGGTGGATCTACTCCTCCCACCGCCCAGAAGGCTTCATGGCGCGGATTGTAGTCCACCTCGACCTCATTCAAGTGAGCGTAGTCGGCACTGAGAGCCTGCAGCAACACTCTGTTCAGCTGCTCGACGATGATCTGGGTTAGCTGCCGCTCGTGGGCTACCACATCGAGAGGAGCAGCGTTGGGCTGCTTGTCCAGGTGCCTAGTAATCAGAGATTGAATCAGTATGTAGGGTCTTTTGTATGCTTGAGTCACTTACTCGCTGTAGTCATGGGCAAACTCAAGGGCTTCGATGACATCTTCGCGGACGGCTTTAAAAACGGCATCGTCAGCGCCCGCCTTCTCCGGCGCTTTGTTCTCCGTCTTGGCACCCTGCTGCGCCTTCTCGAGCACCGTTCGAGTGTAGTGCTGCGTTATCGGCAGCGCATTGTAAGGAATCTTGGCGTCGTTGAATTCTACCACTTTGTAGCCGTAGTAGCGCGGCATATTTATTTTGATAAGCTTCTCCTCGACTGTCGGCACCTGACGGATCTCCTCGTGCCAGTCGGCGGCATTCCGCTGCTTGCGGGCCTTGTAAGTCAGATTGCGGATCTCCGGATATACCGGCTGCGCGGTGTACTCCTCGTCCGCACCATTATTCCACTGGCTCTGTGCCAGTGGTTGTCCGGACAGGCCGCGCAGGTAGACCAATCGTAACTGGTTTACTGGACGCAGCTTCAACATTTCACTAGCAAAGGTTTAAGTTTTAATTGAAAAAAAAATTATGAAGCGTTTAATTATGACACCAAGGAGGAAATGATGAGACCGAAGCACACTTGCTGGAAAATACAACAAGAATTTAACCGAAAATCCTCAAATGTACTAAAAAAGAACTTGCATAACAGCTGTTGCACGAGAGCAGAGGGTTTTAAGCCCGGCAAAGTTTATTTTTTAAATGTTTTCGGAAATACACATTTTAATTTATAACAACATTTAGTCATGTTCAATATTTAGTTATATATCAAGTTAGTTCGTTATCTTATTCGACCTTCATGCATTCGATATATCGATTACACTGTCGTTTGTTCATAGCCCTATACATTATTTAGTATTTTAAACAAAATTATATACCTATAGGCTAGGAAATTATACTTTTCTTAATTTTGACCTGATTTAAATAGTGTAAGTAACTTAAAAAATCAGTGGAAAAATCGAGAAGCGAGTATTGCTCTTTCAAAAAACATCGATAATATCGAACGATGTTTTTGCAGCCGCACACAGCATCATAACTAATTGAAATCAACGTTTGCCTTTGGTGTCATTTTCCAGCTTGTTTGCGTCCCCTTTTAGTCTAATTGAAACAAAAATGGAGCCGATGAACCTGGGCAGCCCGGTGAATAGCCCCAGCTCGAATCAGAGCCAGTACTTGCCGCCATTCCTTATGGGTGATCCCCAAGCCCTCACACCGCACAAGAACACGCTCTCGCCAAAGCCCGGACGGTACAATGTTAGCTTCGGTAAGTCTTTCGCTTCTACCAGAGACTATAACCACTATAATCTCATTCCCAAAACAGCCACATCGCCTGGTGGTAGCAGCCCCCACGAGTTTAACCGATCCGCGCTAAACAGCCGGACACTCTTCGGGGCAGCGGGCGCCGGCGGCCTCGGTCACAATGCCTCTGGCGCCGGCATCAATGCCAACACTTCGCTCTCAGCGACTCCCAGCCATACCCACAGTCACCAAGTGGGACCGCCAACACAGGGCCTGTTCGAATCCCTGCGGGAGCCCGTCTCCACGCCGCAGAGGAACCATTTAAGCCTGCTGCAGATGCAGTCGCCCAACCAGAGCCTGGGGCCGAATCAGAGCTACCAGAGCAGCTACCACACAAACGACTCGTTCGCACCTGGGGCACCCAATGCCATCAACGCCTCAATGCGGGCCCTATGCTCGCCGCTGGGTGCAACTGCGTCGCCGTTGGCCGGCGGTCAAGGCTCGTATTCAAATGCAGCCGCCAACGGCGGCAACATGCAGATGGCCGACTTTTGGGTTACAATCTTTGGCTTCAGACCCGGGGCCGCTTCCATGGTGCTTCAGCACTTCACGCTCTGCGGCATCATCGTAGAGGTGGTACATCCACCGAAGAACGGCAATTGGATACATGTGCGCTTCTCGTCGCGCATCGAGAGCGACAAGGCTTTAAACTACAACCACAAGGTGATAGCCGGCAACGTTATGGTGGGCGTGACGCGGTGCACTGACCGCTCGGTCTTCGACAAGGAGAACAGCACTATGATGGCCAATCAGGACATCGTCACTCCGGCGCCAACCTCGCCGGCTATCCGGCCATTTGCCCAGCAATCGTATAAGCTGGCCCAGAACGACAGCGCCGTTTCGCCCACCAAGGATATACCGCAGAAGAGCTCCGGACTGGTGGACAAGGCTTTGGATCTCATCTTCGGCCGGTGAGGGAGGAGGCACTTGTGTTCCAGCTACTTATTTAATAATTCTCTGCGTACATCCTATCCAGCATACATACATACATTAAAAAGAGATACAATAGCAATAGCAATAGCAAAAGAAGTCAAAGGGGGGTTCCATTCCGCTCTGTCCAGTCCTGCTCGTCGCAGCTCCGCCCTATTTGGGTTCCAGATGCGCCGTCTCAAGGTTCTTCATCTTGGGATAGCTGATGGAGCGGCTGTCCAGCTTGGACTGGGCCCAGAGGATCAGTTTGAGGAGGAACATCATCTTGGGTGTGGAGTCCTCGCTGTGTTCGCAACGCAGGATGGCCGAGTTAAGCTCGCTGGCGATCTTCTGGCGATACGACTGCTCCAGCAAATCGGCAAAGGGGCTCTCCTGGGGCTTCTCGAATGCGAGCAGCGCCAGGGTGCGCTCCAGCTCGAACATGGCTTCCTCGCCAGACTCGGACAGTTTGGTCTGGGCAAAGGCCAGCGCCTCCTCTACCTTCCCGGCGCGGATAAGCTCGATGAGCTGCAGCTGCTGCAGGTGAAAGAACAGGTAGCGATTGCTGCCCAGCAGCTCTGGATGCAGTTGGTTAACCAACTGGGTTGCCTCCTCAACGCGGCCCGCCTGCACCGCCTCGCGGATGAGGATGCGCTCGTCCAGGCTGCTGAGCTCTACACTTGGCTCCAGGTCGGCCTCGTGCTGGAACTTTTCGGCGGCCTCCTTGAAGCCCTCTAAGTATGGGACCGAAAGAAAGAAACAAAACGAATTAAACAATGTCTGAGGACGGTGGGGATGGACGGTTGCTCACCTGTGACCAAGTAGTTCATGATCAGCCGATTCATGTCCGCTTGCTTGAATGGAAAATGCTCCAGGCGCTGCAGCCACTCCTCCTTGCTGATAGCCTCCGACTTCTCGTTGTAGCTCATTTTCTTGTTCTTGCGTATCTTGCCAATTTTGAGGCCGTTTCTCTGGTCCGTCTGCCTGCCGAAAGCTGAGTTCCTGTTGCTTGTCTTCGCCGTGCCGAGCTGTGTTTACGTTACTGTTTACTTGGCCTGCGCTCTCTGCACAAATGACGCTGGGAATTTTCTTTTCTTTCAATTTCACATACGCACACACACACAAACCGACACACCGCTAAACAAAAGAAAAGCGCATTTGGTGCATATCTGGCAACGCTGTGATATCTATCGATTAACGGCCAGTGCTGCTCTCTTCGGCGTTTTCAAATTTAGCTATTTAAAGCTAGAATTTAAATCAAGCTAAAAGGAAAGAAACTGGCAGCCGATGCTTTTATACCCTTGAAGCTTTCAATTCGATCGAACTGAAAATCAATTGTTCGACTTGTAGGATCCCCGAAGTTAGTATCCATCGATGTTCCAATCTCCAGTCTCTCCTCTCTACATAAGCTGTTTGATTTGATGCGTTTACAACACCTAATAGTTGGCGCGCAACGCAGCCTAAGCGCTTGACATCCTCTTTTTTGAAGTTTTGCAACACACGGGATAAAACGGAAGTTTGACATTAAATAAAAAAGTAAGAATTCTATAGTAAAAAATCAGAATTGTAACTCAATAAGTCTCATTAGATTCTACAGATTTCCTGAACCGCCAGCAGTTCCTATTCACTAGGTTATAGACTCCATCATCGTTAGTAACAACTATTAACACATTTTGCTTTATATATTTACGCACAAATTTACATATATTTATACAGCTAAAATGGACAAAAAAGATTCGAACTTGCTTCGGGACTCCTATAAGTCGAAAGACATAAGCATCGAGGAGTCGCATATACGCCGCCTTGAGGAGACCAACGCACTGCGCAAGCCCAAAAAGGATGACCAAATGCTCATGCGCCGTAATATCTGTGGTAGCGACGAGGAGTTGACCTCGCCGCAGTTGTCCGTTGAGGAGATCGTGGACGCCATGAGCAGCCCGGACGAGGAATACCTGATGCTGGGCCTGCGTTCCGCTCGCAGTATGCTGAGCCGGGAGCATGATCCACCCAGCGACCAGATCGCGCCTATTTGCACCCGCCTCCTGCTGAACGCCAGACCCAAGAGCTTACTGCACTTGGAGGTTGCCTACACCTTGACCAGTATTGCCAACGGCTACTCCGATCAGACGCATTGCCTTATCAAGTACAACGCCGTGCCACATTTTGTGACCATGCTCCAGTCCGAGTGCATTCTTTTGGCCAATCAGGCCGTTCAGGCTTTGGCCAAAATTGCGGGCAACGGAGCCACTGCTCGCGACTGTGTGCTCCGCTACAAAGTGATCGATGGCATCCTCTCTTTGATTTACAGAGACCTGCCGCTCCTGATACTTCGTAACATCGTCTGGTTAATGTCAAATCTTTGCCGGAACAAAAACCCCGCACCGCCGTTCCATCAGGTGCGACGGCTGCTACCCGTCCTTTCGAGCCTTCTCCATAGCGAGGACGTCCAAGTGCTGGCCGAAGCTTGCTGGGCCGTGTCGTACATGACGAACTGCGACGAAAGAAACGTGATCCAGGCCGTAATAGACGCCAACATCGTTCCCGGTCTTGTGAGGCTCCTGAAAATGGATGAGCCGAGCATTAATGAGCCTGCTCTACGCAGCGTGGGCAATATTGCGACTGGAACGGATCAGCAGACCGATGCAATCATTACCTCCGGAGTACTGCCTTGCCTGGGAGTCCTGCTGCAGCACCACAAGGCCTACATAGTCGAGGAGGCTGCCTTGACGGTCAGCAACATAACGACAGGCAATCGCCAACATATCCAGGCCATTATAGAGGCAGGGCTTTTCGAGCCACTACACCTTGTACTGGAGACGGGGGACTATAAGGCCCAGAGAGAGGCCGCCTGGGCGGTGACCAACACCCTAACCTTGGGTTCAGCCGCCCAGATATTAGATATGATTGAAAGGTATAAAATTCTTAAACCGTTCATAGATCTGCTGGAAGCCTGGGACCCACCCACCATAAATGTGGTATTGTCGGGCCTGTCCCAGCTGTTCTTCATCGCCGAAAAGCTTGGTGGTGTTGTTAACCTTTGCCACAAGATTGAGGAGATGGGCGCCATACAGAAGCTTGCAAAGCTCCAGGAGCACATGCAGGGAGCGGTGCAGGTGAAGGCTTACGCCATTTTAGAAAGTTACTACAGTGGCCTTGGCTATTACGAACACGAACCCAAGATTCGCCGTGGAGGCCGCTTCTTCAAAGCCATTCGGTCCAAACCCAACGGTGACTTCAACTTCTAAAACTTGGACCAGGAGCAGGTTGTTCAGGCTGTATGAGTTAGCAACAATTTTTGTTCATGATTTTCAAACGATGAAGTTTTTCAAACGATTCTAATAAAACAAAACAATAATGCAATTTTAAAATATTTTCTCATTGATCTAAGTTAACAAATCAAAGTCATTGATCCAACTAAGAACAATCAATGGAATATTACATTATCAATATTATCATTTTCGAGAATAGAATAAAGAGATGAACCCTTGTACATGTTCGTCACTTGAATATTTATTGTACTTCATTTAAATCATTTTGTATTTGAATTTTATACATACTTTTTTTTGTTTTTTATTTTATCAGCATAATTCAATAATATATTTCTTGTATAGTATAATAATAATTTTATAACACGTTTTTCTGCACTGTGCAAATAATTTGTCCATCAACTTCTATGCAATTTGCGAACTCTCCTTAGTTATCTGCGTGATGGAGTGTTGATATTCAATTTTCTTTGAATTTTTAGTACAGTCTACATTAAATTGTTTTACATTTGATTTTTGTTTACTGACTAACATTCTTCTTGTTGTATATTCATTTTGCTTTTTCTTTTTCGGTTTTCCTCAAAATAATCCATGTTTTCAACACTTTTTATAGTATAAGCTGTATACACTTATATTTTTAATGGCATAATAAATAGACAAACAATGATTTATTCTGCTGTAATTTGTTTAAATACTAAATTTGCTATAACAATCAGTAAATATACATAATTATATATATTCTTGTATATATATATTCTTTTACCACACCCCGCCATCATTAGTTAATGACTTGGATACATGCATACATAATAACAAACGCCTCACTCTTCACAACTGTTCTTTTTTTCTTTTCTTTTTGTTATATGTTTTATTTTTTTAATATTTTTTTTTGTATTTTTTTTGTATTCATGACCCAGAATTTACATGGCGTTTACTAAAAGCTCTGGAATCTTAGGTATAAGCATATTGTTTTGCGCATTCCTGTTCTCTAATCAGTGATATGAGCACTAATTATTCAGAAATTAAAGTAAATATTTGTAGAGCAATGCTACACACCGTTCGTTCGCTCGTTCGTTCGTGTGATGTAGTGTACATATATTTGTAGTATTTATTTTATTAAACAAACACAAGTGGGCTTGTATTCCTTCCCCCTTTGTTGTTGTCGATTTATCAAAATGGCGTTTGTGGCGGCAGCAACTCCTTCGAGAGCCGCACTTGTCCTTTAAGGTTATTTTTCTCTATTTCTATTTTCACCCTGCACTCAAAGAACAATATATATTTATATATATTGTTAATAACTTAGGTCGGAAAAATGGAAAATTACAGGCCTAAAGTCCGCAAAATCGTTCCGCTAGTTTGCCTTTTGCTCTGAATAGTCGGTCATACCATAAATGCACATCCAGGGTTCATTAAATTGAGGCTGACCGGCACCTGGATAAAAGTAAACATAGCCATCGATTTAATTATCCCAAACCATATGGGTTAATTTCTGAAAATATGTAAAATCAGTTAATAAGTATTAGGAAAACGCAATGGATAATATTTTGTTTGCTTCTTTGAGTGCCGGGGAAAACCATGAACTGAAGTCGCCTTGCTTTTGTATCTATCAGATATTAAGATCCTTGTCTAGGCAAGCGCACACCATCAATATGCGTGGATACACTTAGCATAGGTTAAGCCATTAAAAGATACTCCTTCGATCAACTCTGACTATTCGAAAACATTCGGAACTTGTTCTTGCAATTTTGTTATGTTTTAAAGTAATTCATATCTTGCCTGTATGTTAAGTTTTGTTTGTAAACGCTTAGTAAACTATTTTTGTTTGGCATATTTGACTTACAACAATTTGTAATACAAAAAAGTAAATGTACATAAAAAACAACAATACAATTTTCCTTCTGCATTACTACAACTTCATTTGGTGTTGTTCTAAAAGCTGCGATTATTATTATTATTCTTATTTACTTGTTTTATGTTTCTTCTTTTTTGACAACAATTTGGAACTATTGCTGCTGATGCTGACGTTGCTGATTTTTTACTCTTTAATTGCTCGGCTCGCATTAAGCAAAGTTAACGGTGGTTTCATGTACACATTTTGTACGCACGCCCCTAGAATGGCACATCGTGTCTATCTCTATGTATGTACTGCTACCCCTTCTTCCTTCGTCCTTCGTCCTTCGTTCTGTGTTCGTTTTTTCTTTGTTTCGTTTCCCGTTTGTCGTAATATCTTAGCTATCCAACATTTACTTTACTTTGATTTGCTTAGGTTTCTGAATCGAACTTTGGTACATTTTGTATTGTTTTACAGTTTTATAGTTTTATAGTTTTTAGCTTTTTAGTTGCTTAGCTCTTTAGTTGTTTAGTTCATTTTTTGGTTTTAGTTAATTGAAGTAGTTGAAAAATGTATTACAGCATATAGAAAGCACAAAGATAATGCAGATATCGGTATCCCATATAAAGATTGTTTACCAGCAAAATGGGCTTTGACAGTAAATAGCTAATTCATACTCGTATGCACAATGAAAATAGAAATATTCTTAGATTCTTAAACCTAATAGTTTTGTTTTGTTTTTTGATAAGTTATTTTCCTTCGATTCGTAGAAAGGTATTACTCGCAAACAACCAGGATTTCATTTGAATTTGATTTGCTTAATCGGTGTTGTGGCTTTTTTGTATCTCTTCGATCGAATGGAACAGTTGTGTGATCTCAAAGATCTACGTTGGGCCTCATCACCGACAGATAGATGTGGGCTTTCATTAGCTTCTTCCTTCCTTCGTTAATGTTATACAGCATAGCTCGATTTCTGCGATTGTTTGTCTAGTCACATAGAGTTAAGAGTGGAGAGTTTAGAGAAATTCTACTACTATTCAAAACTGACAAGTAGTTGCGCAAACGTACAACCGGAAATATCCCTAAACTTGCCTAAAACAAACTTAAACAGCCCCTAGATTTGCATAGAAAACAACAGACTGGAGTTCAGCCGGGATCTTGGATAGTTGAGAGTTCTTCTGTGCTTTGAAATTGAATTTAACATAAACATAGACCTCTAGGAAATAGTAGCTTCATTTGCCCTGCACATATGTTTGGGGCTCGTGAGTTGTTTCATGTACGCGGGAAATGAAACTGATTTCCATTGGTTTGTGTTATAAATAATAAAATATACTAATAATATAGCTCAATCTAGAGAATGGTTGCGCAGCCACTTGTGCATTTAGGACATTAAGGAAAGGATAAGAGCTTTCTCGCTCAATGAGTATGCATGCAAATTCACCGAAGTCAACTGTACTCTTTTTTAACTTTAGTGTGAAATTCAGTTCAATTTGTGCGGTTTAACGTTTCGTACTTCTACTTTATATATCAAGTTCAATCAACAAAGGGATCACTGGGCACTAAGTGTTTAATATAATAAAAGTATATACTTCAGCCAGTCGCAGGTATTTCTAGCTAAAGGCACGGCAAGACAAATATATAATAAAGTTAAATAATAAAATGACGATTCCTTGAGGTCGGACACACAAAACACATATTGAAAAGCATAACCCTGATGGCCTTTGACAAGCAGAGAATTAAATGCAGGAAAATGTGTTCCATGGCTTTGTGTGCCAGACCCAACTTGACACATTCTGGGGCTCTTTACTGCTGATCTAGGTTACGAATACATAACTTGAACATAGGACAGGACTATATGGGTCTTCATAATCATGCTTAAAACTTCATATACATTGTATACATTAAATATTTCTGTCTCCGAATCTAAGCTCCATTTTTACAACTGATCAGAAAGCGGCCTCCTGCATCCTCGCATTTCTGTCACATCCTGGCCACTCTCGTTTGATTTGTATATTATTTATGCTTGTAGATAAAGTATTTAATTTCTGTAGCCATTTCATCAATTCATTATTTGAAATTTCAGCAATGAACCACTTTGCCGGGGCTTTGCTTTTGTTCTGTGGTTGTGGTTGTGTGGTTTCAAGAACATGAGAAGCTTTAACATTTACATATACACTCAATTATTGAATTACTTACACTTACATACGTAATATATGCTCTCGTGCATGCACTTTCTATAATAGTTATTCCGCGTCCGCGGAATAGACTTAGCTACCCAGGCCCTACTTCTTGTATGACTTCCTTTTCAGCAACTTGTTGACCACCGTCTTGAACAGATTTGGTTTTATTCATAAGTATCCCAGTGTGGCGTATGTCTTCACGAAGGTGCCGTCGTTGGTGCTCACGTTTCTGTGGAGAGTGGGAGAATCATAGATATATATGGCTGAGGTTGGCTAGATTTAGGGGACAATCTCAATTCTTATACTGACTCATCTTCCCAGGGACACACCGCATTGTGATCGGCGGCACCGATGCTGCTTCCGCCGGCCTTGTCCTTATCCTTTTCCTTGTCGTCCTGCGAGCCGCCGAGCCTCTTCCCTTCTGAGTTTCGTTTCTTGCGACGCTTGCGCGCCTCTTCGTTGCTGGATGTGGGCGTTGCCGTAGCGGACACCACTGGTTCTCTGCCAGAATCGCAGGGCTCATCGTCCACCGTGTCTACGTCCAATTCGGCCAGGGGTGCCATGGAGGGAGCCGGGGTGGGTGCTGGAGGTATGTAACCGAGCTGTAGGTCGGCATCTATACTATCGTAGTCATCGACCACGTCCTTGGTATCGCTACCAAACTGGAGTCCTTCCTGGTACTCGTCTGTGGTGGGTGAAAGCTCCTCTAATACCGGCTCTATTTCGCCCCTTCGCCCCTCGGCGGTTAGAACAATGTCTCTTTCTGTTTCGTCAGCCAACAGGGGTTCTTCGGTGGTTGTCTCTGTCTTTGGCTCCTGGCCCGGATCAGTGGGCTCACAAGATACCGGAGTAATTACCTCTAGCTCCAGGACTTTGATGGTGGGCGGACCAGCTGCTGCTGGTGCTTCTTCTGATTGGACACCGCCTCCAGGCTCATACGTTTGCGACTCGATCAACTCGATCTGTACCTCCTTGACTAGAGTCCCAGTTGCCTGGGCCTCCTGAGGTGGCGTGGAGCCGGCCTCTGCGGACTCCGCGGTTCCCAGGCAATTCGCCACAGAGCCTACCTGGCTGCTGCTGCTGCTTCCCTCTCCCGGCGGTGGCGTTATCTTGGTTATGGGCGGCGGGGTATGCGTTGGGGTGGGTACTACTACGAGTGGCAGCTCCGATGCCGAAGATTCGCTATTTCGTTCGCCAAGGGACAACTTGTTGAGCTCCTCCTCAAGCTCTACGGGGTCCACATCCGAGCCAGATGGTGGATCCTTGGCAATGACGCTACCGCTGCCACAGGCACTGCGAGCCTGAAGTGGAGTGGAATTGCTGGCGACCACGCTCACGCTCTGGTTAGCCACGATCGAAGAGGAGGATGTTGTCGTTGGAGTGCGCCCCAACTGGAAATCCGGAGTACGACTGGCCAGAAAGATATGTACGTTAGGGGGATTCGGGAGATTATCTGGGAGATATGTATGCCATACCTAGGAGTAAATGATACCGACGCCCGGCGCTGCTCGGTGAAGCTGGGACCAGACGCTTTATGCTTGTCTCGCCGCTGTCCACGGTATTCTGGTGGCGGATGCCCAGATTTCTCTGCAGGCGGTCGTTTACGTCGCTGTTGTCCGAGGAAGTGCTGCAAGGATAGGTTAGGATATTAATTATTTTAGCTTCACAGAAGTGTCGTAACCCTTACCTATTTAACCGTTGCGGCTGTGTGCCGGAACACGAGATCTTCGACGAGCCCGTTGTTACCACTACCGTTGTTGCGGTTGCTGGCGGATCTGCTACATTGTCTACCTCCCAGGGGCACACGGATAACTTCACCGGAGCCGCCGGGACCGTGGGCTCAGCTGGCTCGTCCCAGGGGCAGACAGCGCTACTGGCTAGCACCAAGGCGGTCGATGACGACGTGGACTCTGCTGCCTCCAGAACGGTGGACTTCGTTTTTGGCGTTTCTCTATGGGGAAACGAATGGGAAATATAATGACAGCCTCTAAATAATGAACAAGAGTTCACACTTAGACAGTGGTTAAGAAGGAATGCTGGTGTTTAACATTTAGACTTACATATAAGCGTATGTACACTGGAAACGGAAGGGGGGAAAAGGCGCATCGGAAACGAACGAACAGTCAACAGTCTCTCTTTTTAATGTATTTATTTAATAAAATTTGTTTGTTATGTCGAAAGATTTACAGAACACACAATTAACAACAGCAACAACATTCGAGCATATAGGAAAGATCGAAACCATATTTTCGGAGACAGTTGAAGAAGCAAGCGAGGCAAAAACACAGGGTCACAGCGGTGACATTTGGGATAATATAGAACCCAGGATCCGAGGGCAATACAAATGAATACTGCTCTTGGATGGGACATGACAGTGAAACAGCTATTGGGAGGAATGCTATAGTCGATACATCCGACTCTCGAGCTACTTAGGCTGTACTTAATTCGTGACAAGGTCTAGACTTACTACGACCAGGCAATAGGTATCAATCATAGGTTTAGCATTTTACTATGGTTACTGAGGCCCGTAAAATTTTGGCCCTTTGCTGAATTCAGTGCTTTAATTTCAGTGCTTTCTTAAAAACTCTTTTTAAATATGTTAAACATTAAAATATATTTATATTTTTTTTTAACAATAAATACACATAATGATTTCATTACTTTTAGGTACACGCACATCATGGTTAAGATATAGTACACTTTTATGTTCAGCAAAGGACTAGGAACGGAATTCTGGACAACAGACACCCAGCTATATCTGGACAGACTTGACGAGGGTCGATATAATATATCCTTACAGATTTGGAGAAAAATATATACGAACTAAGTACACTTATGAGGTAGCTCTACAAGAACCGGGGGAGTAACAAAGGCAGAGTTGGCGGTGAAGTTTTACAACATGTAAAAATGTACACAAGAATTGCATGTCGCCTATTCCTCCTTTAATTTATAAACAAAGGTAACACCGGAAAACCTAATATTATGCATAAACAAAAATGGAAACTAACTTCAGGAAGCCGAAGTTTATATACCTGGCTTGTTTGCAATTCAATTATGGATCAAATCGAACAATCGACAATTTATTCAACAAATCAAAGTTTAAAAATCGCATAACTAAGCCAAAAATGCATTAATTTTAATTCAGAAAGCTTCCATATGTTAGTCTTTAATTGTTTTTTAAATCTGCATACTAAATAAATAATTTTAAACAATTCAAATTTTTATCTGATTTTGAAAATTTTATCTATATAACCCCTTATGAATTTTGAAAAAATTGGTACATTTTTTATTCTGTCGACTCAACGGTTGATGCTTATCACGAATATATATGATTTATAGGGTCGAAAATGATTCCTTCACACAGTTTTGACCTTCTGACTAAAATGCTAATACCCTGCAAAATAAAAAATAATGGATATAATCCATACATTTAAATTGACATATGCTAACATATAGATTTATATATATTTCTGTAAGCAATAAAGTAATCTTATAAATCTTATTCTTTATATTAGTTTTGGTTTAAAATGAAAGTCAAATCGTAAAAAGTTCATTGTTATATCGTTTTTAGAGAAACTGTTAAATATGTTTTCTATATTCTCAATATTAACCCTTTATGTAGAGTGGTATTACCCTCTATGGATTCCTGAAAAAATGGCTGGAACAGGCGACACAGACAGAGAAAATATGTATGTATATAATTAAGAAACGCAAGTGTTTGGACAGAATGAGGTTGGATGGGTCTAAAGGGCACAGATCGAACGATATATATAAAACGAGGAGGAAACTAGTTGTACGTTTGGAAATAGTTGAAAATATAATTTGATTGGTAATATTTTTGATACAAGGTGGTATATGCGAGTCGCAAAACCGGAATGAATAAAGATGTCTTACGGAACTGCCTGCAAACTACTTTCGCGATTCCCGTAGGCCGCATATATCCCAATATCCATGACCGCCATGTGGCGCTGTGGCATATCGCCCCGATAAATCGAATCGCTACTGCAGTGCATGTGTGTGACGTATATGGCATATGGTATATAATCAATTGTTTTAGTATATCAATTGTTCAAATGGTGGGATTCAATTCAATTCAATTTCAAGTTCAAGTTGAGGCTCAGGTTGAGGTTCGGGTTGAGGTTCAGGTTCAGGTTGAGGGTATTCAGGTTGTTGTCGTATCGGTATCGGTATCAAGGTCGTGCGCATGGTGAAAGAAATCATATTTATGCAAACGAAAAAGCTTGATTGCAATTGCCAAATGAAAATGATACAAGCTTTGGCTTTTCTCAGTTTCAATTCAGGCAAAAATCAAATGAAATACTGCGAAAAATCAGAAATATTTGCTCGCTCTTAAATCATAAATTATAATCGAACGCACGCGCCTTTTCAGAGAGACACTCATTGTTATTACACCTGCTCTTCTATTCTGTTCTGTTTTGTTATTTTGGTTTAACTTACCTAAACGGAATTTCGCTGAGATTACTCTGGGAATGAGAGTGCGGTACCTTGGAGCCGGCGTCCTTGTTCACCCCAATCACGGCCAGTTCGTGGGCCGAGCCGGTCAGACTGCGATCGCTACCACGGCGCCGTGCCAAATTACCGGGCGGCGGGGCCTGCATCATGGAGCAGCTGCCAGAGCCGCCGCCACCGGAAGATCCCTTAGCCGCATCCCCAGATTGGGCTGGCTGGACAGTGCAGCAGTCATCTTCTTCTTGGCTCCACTCACGCCGCCAAAGTTGAAGAAACGCTTCTTGTACGACGGCTGAATGCCAGTGTCCAGCAGACGCTTGTAGTGCTCCGACCGGATGAATCGGGGATAGCAGTCCTTTTTCAGCAGCAGCATGTATATATGCTCGGACGCCGAATCAAAGGTGAAGCGTGAGGGGTTCTTCAGCCCCCGCAGAACACTCTCCATCGTCTTGCCGTCGATGTTTATCTCACATGGCGCTCCGGGCTTTAAAAACTCTCTGCAATAGAAGGGGAATGAATACAAGGTCTCCCTGGGCTGTCTACCTGCTGTCACTTACTCATAGATTTCGTTAACTTTTCGCGCCACCTGGGAGTGAGCGGACCGGCGTAAACGGTTGACGGCTATCCAAAAGCGTATGTTCTCGTGCGAATACTCCTTCTCCAGGAATCCTGTGAACTCCTGCAGACCCGTCGGATCTGACACGAGCTCCTCGATCGAAATGGCCCAGCGCTTGACCCTCTTCTCAGTGGGTATCTCCACGAAGGTGTTGTTCAGCTGCCAGAAGGCCACATCTTCGGTGACCCAGGGATTGGAGGGCAGAGCCGGCTGCAGGAAGAAGTCGTACTCGGTGAAGGTTTCCGAGTAGCAGACAAGAGATTCGCAGGCCTGCGACATCTTCATCCGCGTCCGGTTTAGCGATTTGCCCAGATAGTCAACGTCGCGCTGCATATCCTCGACAGTCTTTTTTTTGTTCGGCTTGAGGCCCTGTCGGTCGCGCGACGGCACTGGACAGGGCTCCAGGGGTGTGAACTGGCCAGGCGGTGGACGGTGGACACGCCAGTAGGCTCGCTCCTGCGAGTCCCCAACAATCTTGTCACCCTTCTTGCGCTCCTTGGCCAGGCGCACCTGCTCCTCGGCCTGCATAGAGATGAAGTCCCACTTGCCTTTGAGGTTTTTGTGCAGCGAGGCCAGTGCCTCTGCCTCGTAGTCCTCCAGAGCGTGCCGCTGCTTGTTGCGGAGCGATCGCTTGGCCAAATAGATGGCATACTCCACATTGTCCGGCGCCTTGTGCTGCCATGGCCAGTAGTAGGGAGTCTGGAAACGGTACAGCGACGAGTCGTCCTTCACGGTCAGCGTCTTTGAGTCGTTGACAGGAAAGAAGTAGCCGTGCAGGCACAGCTGGTTGGCTATGTTAAGAGCCTCCGACTCCTCGATCTGCAGGCGATCCATCAGCCATTCAATAAGATCGTATCCTAAGCAAGTGGAAAATTTATTAATTTATTAATTAAGAGTCAGATTTTATAGCAAACATACCCATGAACGCATAGGGTATGGAGGTCAGGAACATTTTCTGCTGCCGCACGGGAACACCATGCTCCTGATCCTGCATCTCACGTACCAGCATTTCCATCTAGATTAAATAATAACAATAAGTTATAAGGTTACTTTTAAATAATACTTAATAAATATACTATTTATATCATTCCGGATTCTTCACTCACCTTATCAAAGGCCATGGGACGCGACAGCTTCTCAATAGTCTGCTGTTGATTGCCACTGCCACCACCGGAACCGATGAGTCCAACGCCTGTTCCAGTTCCGGATATGGAGCCGTGATGCTGATGTAGTGACGCAGTGCTTGGTGCAGTGGCAGTCCCTCCTCCTACTGCGTGGGGCTGTTGGGGATGCTGAAGATGTGTATGCTGGGGATGCTGGTGGTGCTGCAAGTGATGGTGGCCTACGGAACTGCCGCTAAAGGCCGTAGCCGCCTGCGTTGTGGCGGATATGGCCGTGGCGGTGGACGCCAGGGCGGGACTGTTGCCACTGTTGGCATTTCCGCTGCTGCTGCTCGTGGCGGCCGTCCCAGCTGCGGCTGCAGATGCATTGTTGTTGCCAGCGGCCGATGGTGACAACTGTTGCATTGCCTGGAGCACGGTATGCGGCTGAAGATTGAGACTGGTTGGCTTGGCATACTGCGACGACGACAGCGGCGGCGGCGGCTGCTGCTGCGGCGTCGGGTTGGGAGCAGCTGCCGCAGTTGGCCCGGAGGCAACCGGAGCGGAAACAACCACGGGGACGAGAGCCGACGAGGGATTCCTGAGCACTAGCTGCCTATCCCTATCCGGCGGCACTCCGCCGGGCGGTTCCATGGCCGCCGTGCCCGCAAGAGTTGCGGCTTCGCTGCCTCACTGGCCCTATCGGCCTGCTCCTCTTTCTGGCTATATTCCGTGTATAGTAGGGGGGAAAGGGGTCCTAGAAGAGCTTCAGAGTCGCTGCGTTTGTAAGTGTGATATCATTTACGTGGTTTCGCTGCCTGGATGTATATATATCTTTGTTTCATGATTTCTTAACGTCCTTTTTTAGCCGCTAAAAGGGATAATTTAATCTCTAATTTCGTATCGTTTGCTAGCAGTTATCCGAATTCCATCATGTCCTTGTGTATGGAAATATTTGCTGTGAAAAAGTGTAAATATTGGAAAATTTTAATAATTCTGCGAGTTAAAGGATATGCAGAACTTTGTTTAAAAAAAAAGATTTCAAGACTTAAAGATTTCTGTATAATTCAGAACTTTAACTGATAATTTATAGATATATTTGTTATTTTCATGCAAACTTACAATGTTTCATGATTGACTCCCGTTTGATTCTCCTGGGGTTAAACCTCTATCAGGAGAATCCGAAACTCGTATTTAATCTGAGAGGGACTCCTTTTCCTTTCTTGGCCATATATTACCAGCTTCCATGATCTCCGACTAACACTATAACTACTGACTCCTTGAAGGTAACGTGTGCGGGTTAAAATCTAAAAAAAAGAGATTGAAACAAATGCCTTATTAATTAAATCAACGATTAAGTAAGTTATAAGTACGAAATATTTATTAGTAAGTATAACTTACTTTTATTAAAAAGGTACCTAACATAATTAAAGCTATATCCTTGTCTTTATCATGATCTTTTCGTGTTTCACATTTTAGAGACTATAGTTTTCTTGGGTAAATAAAATACCTTTGTTAACGCGGTCAAGGTTTTACGCAATCCTGCCAAATTTATTTCCTTTTCTTGCCATATGAAGCCTTTACATGCAAGGGAATGCCTTTCAGCCTGTGTCTTTTCTAAAACCCGTTCCGGGGACTTTCCCAAAACAATTTTGGATAGAAAATAGTTTATGTCAAAGTTTGTATATGCGTGTTTTTTATTTGTTTGTGCGTGCCCACCGCTACCTTGTGTAACCATTTTGACATTAACACACTTTCCCGCATCGACCTCCGCACTCTTCTGCTCAAAGAGTCCTAGCTCCTAGGCTCCTAGGCTACCAAGCTACCAAGCTCCCACGCTCCATTCCCGTTAAGACTCTTGCGTGCGACTTCGATGTGCTTGGGTTACTGGCCCGCGTCCCTTAATGATAGCATTTGGAGAAAAATAACGAACGGGACTGGAACTGGGACTCCCACCTGCATTTGCAGAAACTGTGGAGACAATGACACCAATATGAGCTTAATAAGTTGCAGGGGAGCACAGCGTGCTCATTAAAATGAAAACTAGCCAGCAGTGCCACGTTCCGAGGTAAAAGCTATTTTTACAATCAACATGAAGGATGATTGATGGAACTATTTGCCTGTAATCCGATATAAACTTAAAAAAGCGTTCCCAATGCAGCCCGAGTTGCTGGGAAAGTGCAGCCACCCTCACCACCACCCACCATCCACTTCTACTCCCACTCACCAGGGCAGAATCTACATGTACAATACAGCCATATATCATACCCACACCCGCACACCCACGCTCGCTGATAGGAGGGACCTCGGTGGGCCCTCGGAAAGGGTAAATGGAAGGTAGCCAGCTATTTAACTACGACGACATATTCACGTGGCATTGATTCCAACTGGGGACGAGCTGGATGAACAGCATAAGGCAGTGGGTAATAAAGAAATAAGAGCAAAGCAAAGCTTTTCAAGCGAAATTCAAATGTTAATTGAGTCTATCAAATCTTGTTTAACCATCAAGTTTCTCAGGTAAAATTTATGTGTATTAAATCAGCCGACAGACCTTGGAGTTGGCTAAAAACTGTTCTAACAAATATATATTCCCAAAAATTAGTTAATACTAAAAGAGTTTATAAGAAAAGAACGGGACGGTTAAAAAGCATGAACTAATTTGAATAAGAATTCCATTTCTAAGTGCATCGCAACGAGTGCACTTAAAATAAAATACATAACAGTACAATTAGTTCTAAGAAACTTTAATGGCTTCAACAGCTAGAAATGTGTTCCTTAACCCTAATGTTTGTCCTTAAACAAAATCCCAAATTATAAATCTAAAGTAATGAAAGCAAAGTAATGAAATCTAGTAACAAATAACTATAACGATACCTAGAACATGAATATTGGGTATTATATTATTCCAAAGAACTAATTTAGTGATAAATCACATTAAATTCCTAAATCGACTTCTTCAAGTAAGTGCCCAAGATCAAGTGAGAAATATAATCAATAAATGCACTTCTCTCTCTATTCCCTGTGCAGTTTCCGCATCAATTCATTCATTTGTCAATCATGCAAAGCATTAGTTGGCATCGTAAGCAAAGACTTTTTGCTTCTAGCAAATTAAAAACACTTTAATTAAATTATGTAAGACGTGGGCTCTATTTACGTAGCGAATGCTTTACCTGGCAAACAAACCATGTACCTGAGAGTGTGTCCTAGGAAGGATATTTAAAAGATAGATTTATTTTAAAAATCAATGCGCTATGTTATGAGAGCGTCACAAGGACAGGAAAATCATTAATTAAATTTTTGGCCATCGTTTATGTATTAATTTGCTAAGTAGCAATGAATTTGTTTCCTTTCAGACCGTCATTATATACATATATATATATATATAAATATTTCAATATATATTCATCGTCCGTTTAACTCCCCTCCATTGGCACGTTCCTCGGTCCTTTTTTATTGCTGGGCTACCATCCCTATTCGCCCTTTTAAATGTGACTTTTGTCGTGCATTTGTCGCAGGCGCTGCCCTTGTCGTTGTCGTCGTTACTGGGCCGGAAGTTGGTTTCAAACTGTTGGCAAATGAGTTTCCGTTTGCGAGGGAGGTTTCCTGCTCTCCTCGTTGTTGTTGCCGACTCTTTGCTGCCTCTAGCTTTTTTGTTCACACACTTGCCCAGTTAGCAGAAGTTTATTAATTTGCTCCGCATCGGTTATATCCTCCTTCACACACATTCATTCCCCTTCGCATCACTATACATATATTTTTGTACATATGTATATATAAAATATAATACAATAATATAATAGGTGTGCGCCTCTTCCTCAAGTTTTCCACTACCAATAATGGTTTTATTTTTCACTTTCACCCCATCCATTTTGCCCTTATTAACCTCATTACTACCTAGTGCCCCGGCTGCAATACATCCGGTTGCAAGTTTGCAAAAAATATGCTGCCTACCTCGAGGCGAGTACTTGACCAAGCTGGCTTTCTGGGATGTATATGCACATCCAATGCTATGCAAATCGACTCTGAACAGCATTTAGCCTGTGAAGAAGATGCCTACGGCCATGGAGTGGCTGTAGTCGCAGGGCTTATCTTTGCATTGATATTGATTACCATACCGTGCAGTGCAGTGCGCACAGCGCAGTTGATGCGATTACGCTGGGTTTTGCTCTCGAGTTGGCTTAAGCAGGGAGGCTTTCTTAAAGGATTACTTTAAGATACCCCATTGTTTACGTTCGTTGAGGGTTTAATCTTTCCACACATTACTTTGGTCAAGGCCACCGAAACAACTGACGCAACCCACCTTATTCTTCTAGGTTTTGCTTCCTACCCAGCCTGCCATGTCTTTCAAGCAGACAAGTCTGGGGGGCACATCCTCCGCAAAGGAGGAACATAGGATATAGCAATGACGTTGGAATCACCTACGAAAGTCATTTTGTTGAAAGCCACCCCCAAAAATACTCGTTTGGATCCGTCGCTGCATCACTTTAAGTAGTGTGTCCCATTTAGATTTTTTTGTCATCTAATCCAAGGTATTTAGAAAGTCAAGGAAGGGATAATCCTTATTGTGGTGTATTGGAGAGCATTAAGAGTCTTGTTTAACCACAAATGTGGTCTATTTGCTTTATGAATGTTATATTTCAATTAAGAAACAAAAACAAAACCGAGAAGATACTGAGAACTTTATGCTTGTCACTTGTCACACGGGGTCCACTATTTCAATGACCATGGCTGTATACACTGAAGGTATATCGCTCACCGGACCTCGATCACGATCGGACTGAGTAATTGCGCCGTAAATGCGAAAATAACAATGTGCAGTGTACGCTGGGAGCAGCACCAACACTTCCTCATCTTCCGAAAGCCCAAAGCCATATGTATGTTCGGATTTGGTATGTACCGACTGGACTGACTGACTGGTCGGGCAATTGTACATACATACATATGTGTGTACTTGTTCGTTTTTGGGCATTATTTAAGCTTGTTGTCGGCCATCAAACATATTTGGCCTATAGGAATTGGCAGCCGACAAGTCCATTTGGCATTTTTCGTAGTTCATTTATCATTTTTAGAATCTCATATCTCTCACACAATAAACATTATTTGGCATTCACTCGATATATATTGTATGTTTTTTTAGTTGTCGGTCTTTGTTGATCCTGCAGAGCTCTGTGTCAAAACTATTGGGAATTTTCCGGGTACCCGTTTGCAATAAAATAGAATTACAATGCCCACTCGATACAGTGAAAAGAAAGCAAATAGTCACTAGTGCTAATTTGAGAAAGCAATTCCATAAAATCTATTAGTGCTATATGTGCTTAGATCGACCAGAAGATTAGTATACCAGCCAGAAAGCTGACGTTTCTCCCTCCTCACACCTCTAAGAATCTTAAAAGAAACACTTCACGTGTCTACAAAGTGAAGATAAACAATATTCGAATGTTGATCCAAGTGGGATGACTATGAGAGACGCTAAGGGGCAGTAGGAGACGTGCGGAAAAGAACACTCCCCCAATGAAGTATATAATATTGGTGGTGCAAAATAATCAAGGTGTCATAGGTGTTACTGGAGCATAGATAACATCTTTTAGATTGTGAAACCATGAGCCTCCAGTCAACTTTGCGCCTAATTTAAAATACTTTGAAGAATGCATCGGAAATCGATTATAACTAAGGTTATAATATTCACTTTTTTTATATATGAGAATTTTTTGGACAAATTAAAGTTTAATAAAATTATAACTTAGCCAAAAAAAAACGTTAATTTAAATTCGGAAAGCGTTCCCATGTTAGTTTTTGTTAAATAAATAAATCTGCATACTCTACAAAAAATATAAAAAATTATTCTTTGTATTTTAATTTTTGATAATTTAAATGATGTAGCCCCTTACAAAATTTTGAAAAAATTTGACAAGTTTTTATTTCTGCCGGAGATGGTAAGATCGACTTGGCTGTTGATGCTGATCAAGAATATATATGATTTATGACGTTGGAAATGATTCCTTTACAATTTTACAAGCTTCTAACTAAAACTATAATCCCCTTGAAGCTTATGCGATCGCTGATTCGGGAAAGAGCTAAGTGGACTACCCGGAAGTATATGTACATACTTATCGCAGATGGCGTGGAACTGACCCTTCGAAAGCCAAATAAATGAGACTCCCCGGTTGATCGCCGCCTGACGCAGATGTGCCGACGACGCACAGGTTTACATGTGCACAGGAATACAGGCCAATAAACTAAATGGTACAGTATCGGTCGCAACAGCAGGAACAGAAAAACAGAAACTGTGCCTAGGCGGGCCGCGCGTGTGTGTGTGGGTGAGAGCTGGCACGCACACAGTCAGCGAAAAAGAGAGTCGGAGCAACACAAAAAAAAAGCTTGGATAGGCGCAGCAGATAGCGCACACTACGACAAGGCTTCGCCGCTTTTGCTGCGGGGGAGGGATGTAATTGATGATGACTTCGTGTGCGTGTGTGTAAACGCAACACAAAAAGAACAACAACAAGAAGAACGGTATCAACAACCAGAACAACAACATGGGTTCGGTGCTGGCGGAAGGCAGAAAAGTTTGCGCAAAACAATTTTTTAGCACATGTATGTGCTCCTCCGTTCAGTTCGGAGCTAATGTGGGTGGGGATTATGTCCCAGCAAGGACCTGTCGTCGTCCAGTTACAACTTTAGCTCCGCTATCGCTATTATTTGTTGTGCCTGGTCTGGTCCTGGCTTTTGGTCCCTCTGGCACGCAACGCACCGTTACATTTACATGCGAACACTGCCTCATGCCTGCACTTTTACCGTTATACCGCTGTACGGTCGGTTGCTGGAGAAGGAGGAGGATGGAGAGCTGCTGTCTGTGTGCGTGTGGCAGCCGTGAAATTCGTACGAAATAATAAACAATATAAACAATTCACTTGCTTGGCCGCTGGCTGGAATTATGTACAGATTTTTCGTATTTTTATACAACTGTGTGTATACATCCACTGGGCAATTAAATATTTACGTCGACGAGCAGCTGGTTCGCAACTTCTCCCGGATCTCCGTTCTGCTTTGCTCTGCTCCTCTCTCTCTCCCTGTCCCACCATATTGTATGTTTGTGTGCACACACTGGCACATTGGCTGGTTGGGTCACACTCACACACACACACATGTACACATGCACGCAGCGTCTGGGTCAGGGGAAAATGAATTATTTTTGCTCACGATTTGCCCAAAACACACATTTTGTGCGTTTACCAATAACGGACACGCTTATCGCCGACATCCCAGCATTTTCGTTTTCATTTCCATTTTCGTTTTCATTTCCATTCTCAAGCTCATTCTCATTTTCGTTTTCACTTTCACTGTCAATGTTAACATAACCAACGGGACTCGCTTTCGCACACAAACAAAATACTTTTTGCTACCTTATTGCGCTGCCGTTCCGCTGTTCCGTTCCTTTTGCCTCGTTTTTATGTTGGCCTTCTCCTTCGGGGACACTCGCGAATTTTTGACAAAAAAAAAAAAAGAAAAACGAAAAAAAAAAGATGGAAGCAAGCAAAAAAGAAGACGATTTCTACGTATTCCTTTTCGTTGCACAGCACTCGCGTCGAAATGTATGAAAAAAACTAGGATAAAATCGCACTTTGAACGCAATAAAGACGCGAATGCACTTTGCGGGCCAGCTCGCGAATATTTGTTTCATTTAATATCGATTTCTGCGACTTTGAAAATGTACCCTTGGTACCAGCTACGGATTCTAATGGCTTTTTGTTATTCTTTTCTCCTTTTATGCTTCCATGTTGCCTGTATGCTCCTTGAAAACACCGTCAGCGCGAGCAACCGACGCACGGAGAAGTGGAAAATGGATTTTCCTGTGCCAGCCGTCGCCGTCCAAGGCGGAGAGCTGCCGACGAACACTTCCGAACTGGTGACGAGTGGCGCCGAAGGGCTGGAGAGAGCGCAGTTGAGAGCCAGTTTTTGGTATTGCGAACTTGTTGGGAAAGCTGGCTGGAAGTTGTGAGAGAGCGGAAGGAACTGTTTGGGGCGGAGAGCAGAGCGGACCGATAGTCCACAAGATTTTGCGATAGTAGCCTTTTAGCGCATCACTAGGACACTCGCTGCTCACGCCTGACTCACTCGCTGCTTGCGTGGCCGTTGAGCTTTTGTCCAATTTCAATGCGATGCTTCTAAAGTTTTACGACATGGGTAGTCTTCACAACTACCTCGAAACTTAAATGCACTTTCGTTTACTTATGTACATACATACGCTTTATTATCGGTAATAATCGGTATAATAAAAGAGTTACTTTTTGATTCGCTTTAAAAAGACAACAAGAAATGTATTGAATTAGTACAATAATATAATATACACATAATGTTTGTACATATATATTTTCTTTTCTTTGCTTTAAATTTATACTGTCTCGAATTTGATGAAAAAAAGATGCTGCTGTCGTTGCTACTTAAAATCCGCACCGTACTCACAACATTACGTGAGCATAAATGTGTGCTTACTGCGTTTAATAAAGTCTAATGTTAATTCCATTTAACGTGTGTATATGTCGCAAAATACACAGAATAGTTACGGTTACTCTGTTAATAGTCCGCCAGACCTTGTCGTCCAAATACAAAACATTCGATTCCTTAGGCTCTTCAAAATGACTAAATTCTAGCTACTGATCATCGGAACTAAGGGGTATGTGGTTGGGTCTACCTCAGAAAAATGAAGGTATAATTGTGAAGACTCTACTCACTTGTGTATGTACAGACATGATGAACTGCTTTCGCCGCTGATGCGATGCGATGCTCTCAAGTGTTTTCCTTTTGCATTTCCAACACTGGCAGTGCAACTACCAAGATATTTAAGTCATTTACTAACACCGTTTATCCTACCTTATCCTCCGAAGTTGTACAAAGTCATACATTATTCACGCACCGTCTGCCTGCTGATCCTGTGGACCATTTACATAATTCCGAGTTAAATGTGAATGCAAGATTTACGCCAAATTCCTATCTATGTATGTATATAAGTATGTATCTACTAGTGAACTAAATAAAATTCATTAAAATCAGGTCATGTTGCCCTTCGCTATTTGGCTTGATATTGTGTTAGTCATTCCGCCACCAAGGCGGATATGAGAGTCGAAGTCCCGGCTTCTTCGTTCCTGTAACTGATTCTCCTGGCCTGTTCTCTTCTGCGATATCTGTTAGCACGATATCTGGTTTAGCTAGCCGCCCTTACTGACTATACTTTACCGTCCGTCTGGATTCCCAATTTCCAAGTTCCCGACTCCGGACTCCGAAGTCTTCTAGAGTTATCACAAGAAGTTGGCATTCGTGTGTTCGGTGGCGCTTTGTCGGCGTCACATGTAGGAGGGCGAGGACTTACGGGATCTGGAGCGCGGCTTTGATGGACTCTTTAGACTGTGGCGTGAACTGCTCCTGGGCTTGAAGCCCCTATCGTTCCACGGCTCCGAGACGCGACCGAACCAGTGTATCAAGTCCATTACCTCTAGCTGCCGGAGAGAGAAAACAGTGTTAATTTAGTTAGGTTTGGTATCAAAATGTCCTCACTTGAAGAGTTTGGGGCAATTCCTTAAAGATTTCACACTTGGTCAGTTGTGCATGTTGCGAGAGAAAGGAGAGACACTTGGACTTCAAAGCCGTAGCCATATACCGGTCTGCAATGCCCAGCAGACATACCACAGAGTCCTCGTCAATCAGGGAGTACAGTGTGTTCTCGCACAGTTCCTGTAATGATAGAGCGAGAGAGAGAGAGAGAGAGATCATCCAGGGATTAAGAACGTTACAAAATATATCCTTTACTCACTTTGAGATCATCGATGGAGTAACGATCCGCCAGAAGCATTAGCTCACACACCTGCTCAGCACCAACGGTCCGGTCAATGGGGGCACCATACAGGTAGAGTAGCAACCGCCTGAAGATGACCGGCGAGGTGTCTGTGATGACTACCTTCCTGTTGATGGATTCCTGCATGCCGGACATCAGTGCCTTTTTGAACCACTCGCAGCGTGCGGCCACAATCACGCGATGGGCCTTAAAGCTGTGGACCTGCAGCGTTGTGGTTTCCGTATCCGGTTTTATCGGTGCATATGTGTGCACCTCAAACTCCATGTCAGCCAGCTGAGTAGAGTGCAGCAGACGCAGGGCGTTTTTCGAGAGATTGCTATTGGCAGCTATGGGTGGCTCGCAGAGGTGTCGGATGAGGTTTAGCTGGTAAGCGAAGGTTTAGTGTTTATTTTTGATACCTTTAAAGATCTAGACAGCACACCCACCTTGATGCTCTTGTAGTCGTAGTACTGTTTGCGGTCCAAATACAAGGTCTCCTTGTTGTCCAGGCCCTGATTTAAGTTGTTCTCGTGATCGGCCACTTTCAAACTCGCTGGCAAGCGACTGGAGTTGTCCAGCAGACCCAGCTCGATGAGGGACTGAGTGAACTCCTGCTTCCGCACCAGCAAGCAAATCTGGCTGATAGCATCACCGAGCGCAGCCTTATGATCCAGCAACTTGGCAATTACACCATTCTGGTTTGGATTAAGGATATTTTAATGTTTAGTTTAAAATTATACAATTCGCACTTACTATTTGACTGGTTGCCAGCTTGAAGCAGAACTTGAACTCCTTCCAGCCTAGCTTATCATCCAGGCGATCCGAGAGGTTCTCCACTATGAAAATGTAGGCGGGAATGTCCATGATTAGCTGCTCCAGGTTCTGGTTGATGGTACTGCTCTTGCTGAGAAAGTCCATGTCGCAGTAGGTGCTCCTGCAAGTTTGACATTAAAAGCCATGGCTGGTCAATGCCACTCCACTTCACTTACTTCTTGTCCTTGATTATCTCCAGGGCAGCCACAATCCGGCCGTAAATGTCACGCATTTTCCGCACTTCATACATGTATAGCACAAATTTGAGATCATTTTCCGCTGAGCTGAGCCTCTGCTTGTCCGTCAGATTGTCGTAGAGCGTCAAGCCCACAGGTGCACCGCGACGAGGACGAGGCGATGGGTCGCCGGCATCGGGAAACTGCAACTGCATGACAATAGCTTCATCCTCCTGCTGCTGCTGCAGTGGCAGATCCAAGTGGGAACATTTTAGGTCCTGCTAAGCAAATGTATCATTGTAGTCGCTTGTTAAATATCCAAGGAGGACGGTATAACTTACATTACACATGATTTCCAATGAGTTTTTGATTTCTTCTATCACAGCGGTCAATACAAATAAGGTTGATTCAATCTGTGGGAAAATGATATAGATGTATTGTATAGTAAAGAATTATTATAATCGAAATCAACTCAAGAGGGGCCCATGGGCACATGGGCACTGTTTAAATTTAAATTTGAAATGCACAGTGATTTCTATATTATAATCGCTTCAGGCGATCCACACTCACTTCAGGTACAAGATAGTTCACCAACTCGGCCTTCTCGTCGACACTGAGACCGACAAAGACTCCTAGAACGTTGCGGAGCAGCTGTTGGGTTTGGGACATGAAAATAGGAATGCGGGTCCGGATGTATTTGACAATCTCGTTCTTCTGGTATCGCGTCATGTGTGTAGCATCAGTAATGAAGATATTGCAGAACTGAAGCACCTTGGCGCAACCTGCAAAGATAAATTTCTTGGTTTTATGTATCTATATATAACAGTAAAGATCCTGATTGAGGACATACCAATTGCGCATTCACGCAGGGCATCTTGGAACGTCGCATAAAGCAGGGCCGGCTCATGGGTGATGTTCAGGGGATTGATGCACTGGATAACTCGGTTGAGGATGTCATGCAGATCCATCGTGACATTGACCACAACTACAAGTAATGAGATATATATATATATTTGGATTATCTATGCCTCCCATCAGTAGAGCATCTACTACTCACATTTCTTGAGCCGCATCAGTCGTAAGTACTTGCGCGTGGGTTCCACTAGCTTGGTGAGCGATGGCTGGGTTTCCGCAAAGCTGATCAGCTTCTCGCACACATCCTCGTCGAGGTCGGGCAGCAGGGATTCTGTGTACAGCCAATGTAGGATGGGGCTCAGCAGGAAAGTGGGCAGGTTGCACAGCACACCCACTGGCGTCAGTGGTGACGATGGCGGCGTATCCATAGAGCTTGGAAACGGCGAGGGACTTCGTGCCCGATACGGCGACAGGGGTGGCCGTCGGATGCTGCACACAGCCAGGCTACTGCCACCCAGCCCGCCGTTTGGATTCAGGGGCGTTGATGCTGGCTGCAGCATCAGATCCTGGCAGAAGTTGAATATGTTCTTGCAGTGCGACTGCGAGGTTTCCAGATGCGAGTCCGAGTGCGAGGTTGGCGGCAACCGGTACAGCCCACCGCCACCGCCGCCACACTCTAGGCTGAGGAGTCCTGCCTTGCCTAGTGTCGCCACTGCAGCAGAGTCCGAACCGGAATCCCCAGCATTGCCATTGCTCAGGCAGTTGAAACTACTGCTAAACTGGTGGCCACGCTGCGCTCCCAGGCCCAGGCTGCCGGTCTGAAAGTCACACGGCGGCTGCAGGTATATAGGCGAGAGATTAAGGCGCGGCAAGCATTTCTCCTGCTCGCCCTGCTCTAATGCCGGGGCCACAGAGATCCGTATGGGATTGGGCGTGTTCGGTCCGCTGTGGCAGCTTCGCGCCGGCGGACGCACAGTGGCCGAGGGCGGGGCACTGTTCACGCACATGCTGCAGTCGAAGCCATTGAGCCGCAGGATGGAGGCATGCAAAGCGTAGTCCATGCCGCCGGCGCTCTTTACCACAACATCACTGAAGTAGGACTCTTGCAGGGCCTCACCAAAGCTGAGCTGCTTCTCCTGACCAGCAGCCTGGCCATCCTGGAGGCGCTTGCATTCCACAGCATACCAGTTCTCGCAGCTGAGCACCAGCGTATCAGTCGGCGTTAAGGTGTTGGTCTGAAATTGGTTGGCATACCGGTTGTAGTTAATACTTTCTGGGGGTGGAAACCAAGGATTAGGTAGAAACTTACGCTAAACTCGATACTGTGGCCGGCAAAGGCTCCAAAGACAAGGCGGGGATTCAGCTCATGGACATCAAAGGTCTCGCAGCTGAAGAGGACACTTGCCGATTCGCAGAGTGGGCCGCCGCAGTCTTTTGATTCAGGAAGTGGACTGACCAGGTCATTATACCAGGTAATGTCGCTCGTATCGTCCAGCCGAAACTTGATGCCCTCCAGGCCGGACAGCTCCCGCTTGCCCTCGAAGGTGCAGCACACAATCTGTATGGATATGTATAAAGTAAATATATTGGAACTATATGCGATAGGATAACTTACCTCCCAGGTGCCGAGATATGTGTGTACCAGCGCCATCGTTGCCGCGCGCTCCTCCTCCCGCTGCTCCTCCTGTTGCCTAATTTCGCTGGGGGTTCCAAGTCCTGGCCATGGTGTTAGTTCGACAACGAGTGGGTGCAGTGGCAGCCTGCCTAACTTCCTTGATGATGCCTAGTTGGGTTCGCAGTGGTGCAAAGCGAGTGGCCAATGGCCATTCCGTGGCAGCTAAGCAGGAATCGTGTTGTTACACTTTTTCCACTTGCTTCTGGACCAGCAGCTACTCTTTGGTGGATATTGATGTACGCTGGTGCATGTATGTATTTGTTGTTAAGGACTTTTGTAACTGCGCTGCCGCTGTTGCTGCTCCAGCTCCTGCTCCTGCCTCTGGCTCTGCCTCTGCCTCTGCTTCTACATCTGCGTTTTCGAGTAGCCAGCGAGTCGTCGCTCTCGACGCTCTCTCTCTCTCATCCTGGCCCAGCGAGCAAAGAGCTTTCCCCGAGCAGCTGACAAAGCTCGGGAAGAGCTTTGCTACCTGCGAGTGAGTGAATGAGTGGGTGTGGGTACAGTCACGCACCCACGCCAGGACACGACGAGCACGGGATTTAAAGCTCGCCACGCACGTCATCGTGACGCAAACTGGCCCCAGTTGGAATGCACTCTCCTCGGGCTTAAGCCATAGTAAGTCCTCTTTTCTAGGATGCAGGCATTAGGCGGTCTGCCCCCCAATGGAAACTTTACAAAAGCCCCTCGTCCGCCATAAGCCAGCCAGCAGAAGCAGCAGCAGCAGGAACGGAAATGCTATTAACAGAACTCAGTTGAGTTGCAATTGCAATTCTTAGAATTCAACCAAAGCAAATTGAATCAAATTGATCTGCTTCTTTCAATGCAATTGATTTTTCAATTGAATACTAAATCATATAAATAGATTTAAGTATGAAAATGATTAATATAATAACGATGATAATAAGCTTTACTTCTTAGTTGCTGCTAGCAAGTTAATGTGTTTCGACCCGTCTTCAAGTCTGCTTGTAAGTCTTGATCTGAAAACCTCTTAAAGCAATTCATTGTCAGCACAAATATATTATTTAAGTATGTTCATAAAATAAACGTGAAATTATAAAATTATATTAAAGATATAACCTATCTATTTATATATCGTTAGCTATTTAAATAAGCCTTTCTGCTTTAGCTTACTCTCCTACTTTTGATATTTTATAGTTTAAAAAGATTCTATTCCTTATATTTCTTTGACTAACTTGACTTTATAACTAAATTAAATATAAAAGATTTATTGTTATCGATAAGCTTTCTAAGAAGAAACACTTGTTATAAGTATTGCAATAAGCTTTCAACATTTAATAAGAGTTTGAAATAAATCCCCTAATCATAATTTAATTACCTCAAAGTTAGTGAAACTATATGTAGAACTAGGAAACTTATTTGCCACGCTCCCCCAGGTTCCTAACCCTGTCACAGTAGCAGACAGTCCCGTTTATAGACTTTAGGCCTGAGATCCTATCCACTTTATTAGCTTATTGTTAATGCGTTTCCCTGAAACTAGTTCTTCGTGAAAGTCAGGTTCGAATTTTTTGGGCTGGCTCTAGAGGTTGCTTCGGGTTCTCTAAAAAGCTTTACAGGGAGAAAATAAAATAAAGAGAAAGCTAGAGATAAGCAGAGAAAATGGAGGAGAGAAAGATATAAAAATTGAGCGAGATAGGAAGAGAGCGAAATTCGAAACTTGCTTAAAAAGTGTGAGCGTTATGCATCGTCTTCTTACAAAATCTTTACCTAAATGTTCCTAAAATACTATCGTTGTTGCATAAGGTTTAAACGTTATTGTTAACAACTTTTAAAACTCTTATTGTTAATTGTACAAAGAAAAAAAATACAGTTGCATTAATTGTTCATTGAAATGACTAAATAAAATTTAATAAAAGCAAATACCGTTGAAAATAATACCAACACAATTGGCAATATATGGCTGAAAGTGGTTTCCTAGATGGTGCCCAACTAGAAGTTCTGGAATGCTTTGATGGCACACTGGCTGGTTGCCTGATCGAACTGATTGTACTCATACACCCGGATGCCATCCCGGGCAATGATATCTCGCGGTGAGAGCTGCAATGAGATGAAAGGTAATCAGAAATGGAATGTTTCAGGTGTATCAGGAAGAATGCCCCCCACTTACACTGAGGAGTCGCTTGGCACTCAGCTTGTAGCCCTTGTAAAGGGCTATCCTCTGCAGCGCCATCACACTGCGGATACGCTGACGCGGTTCTATGGCCAGCAGCTGCCGGAGCACGTCCTGCCCTTCGTGACTGAGACTGTTCACTGCCTCGGGCAAGAAATCTCCACTATTGCTCTCGCCATCATCGCTGTCCTGGAGGCAGCCATTAATCTGGGCAATGGATGGGGCATTGGAGAGGCGTTCCTCCTCCTGCACCACACTCTCCTGACGGCGACGCATCAGATGGCGCTTAATGTTGGGCGACTGCAATTAAGAAGTTTAAAATTAGTTTTAAATGTAGTATAATATACAATTTATATAAAAATGTATTTAAATATGTGAATTCCATATCTGATATATTTTTATATATTCCACCATTTTCCATATGCTTTAAAGCATATTTTTGTGCTGTTCTGGGAAAAGTTAAGTCTCAAACCTTTTGACCTCGGATAAAGATATTTGTTTATAAAGGTAAGACAATCTAGCAGGAATCTCATGTAGGAATATAAATGCTAATATTCCGATTTGTTATTTGTATATATTAAGTATTATTTGTTTGGTTTATTGAGCTAATGTTCCTGGAAACCTAAACCAAGGCCTAAAACTAACAAAACGATGAGACATTCATCATTTTTGCTTGGTCTGATTCTTGGGAAATATAAAAAAGTAACCAGGAGAAGTATTTATACTCTTTTTATTGGTTTTAATTTATAATATAGAGCGAATAGATAAAGTTGTAGCTTTCAGAGTCCGAATTTTAGGCAGATAATTCTTTTAAAAGAGGACTTTGCTCAAACTTTGAAATGTACACTTTAATAATAATAATTTATAATAAGAGATGATTTAAAATGTACACATTTGCATTTAATTTAAAAATTAATCTATTATTATTATTACAATTTATGGATTCGACTTGCGAAAGTTTAAATGTATATTTCAGGCTAAATTGAATGACTAAATAGTCCCGCATTTGATTTTTATTCGAGTATAGACCTTAGAGAGTGTATAATAATTAGCATCCAGTCACCATACTAGCTTCCATCCAATGTCGTTGATGGTGCACTGAATCATATCCAAATAACCAAACAATTTGGAGCAGGCAGACGCATGAGCAGGCAAATACGCAATTCGCAGGCGTCAGCTCATTGGCAAAGCCAACAAAAGCCGGGCTTGTGACAAAACGATCGTCCGAGTTATTTGCCGTGAAGTTCAAAATAATCATAAAAAATATATAGCAGAAATAAAAAAAATAATAATACGAAATACAAAACTGTGGAGTATCTTTTGCAGATTAGTCACTTCTAATGGAATTTTCTATGCTGGACTTTATTAACCTTTCAGAACTGCAGCTATGTTAATCAGTTCAGCTTGTTCTTATTCTTTTAAAAATGTTATAGAAAGCTATTTGAACACAAGAAATTAGTAGTTCATAACATATTTATTTTTCAGTATTATAAATATTAGAAAAAACCAAATAAATTGTAATTCTTATGTAGGTGTTTGATGTTTTAAAGTAGGGTTTTATCATTTTATTTAGATTTTTGAAATGTTATGAAGGAGCCATTTCCGACCCTATAAATCATATATATTCTTGATCAGCATCAACAGCCAAATCGATCTAGCTATTTCCGGTAAAAAATACATTTTTTAATTTTTTTTTTTTCTAAATTTTACATCGTTACATCGTTAAAATTGTCAAAAAATTTAAAATTTTTTAAAATTATAAATTAAGTATGCAGATTTATAAGCCTAATAAAAACTAACATGGGAACGTTTTCCGAATTAAAATTAATGCTATTTTGGCTTAGTTATAAGATTTTTAAACTTTGATTTGTCGAAAAAATTTTCATATAGAATTAGAATCAAAGAATGGTATTATAATTTTAGTCAGAAGTGCGAAACGCATTGAAGGAGTCATTTCCGACCCTATAATTCATATATATTCTTGATCAGCATCAACAGCCGAGTCGATCTAGGTACCTTATGTAGAAAAATAAATTTTTAAAATTTTTTCAAAATTTTATAAGGGGTTACATCTTTAAAATTGTCAAAAAAATTGACAAAAATTTTTAAAGTTTTAAAATTTTAAATTAAGTATGCAACTTTATAAACCTAATAAAAACTAACATAGAAAACCTTTCCGAATTAAATTTAATGCTTTTTTGGCTCAGTTATGAGTTTTTTAAACTTTGATTTGGCTCGAAAAATTCGAATATAAAAATATTAATATATATCGATTCCAAGAATGCGAATATTTTAGGCTTTGTTGATTGGCATTTTCATCTTATAATTCGATTGCGAACTGCCAGGGTATATGAACTTCAAAGAGTTTTTACTTGAATCAGTGTAAATAGGCTTAACAGAGAAATATGCTAAGGCTGCTTCAAAACAAAGGAACTTGGTGAAGTTGCTAAAGGAAATATTTCACATTAGTTATATCTTTCAAAGATTCTAGTATGCATTCCCTTAGCCTGGAATGAGATGGTTTCCATGTCCATGTCTTGGATCTACTTGGTGTAGCTTGACGCTGGTTGGCGTGGTCCGGCAGAGCCCTGAGCACAGCCCAGAGATCAGCTCAGGCCAGCCCAGCAGCAGCTTGGCTCCACGAACGCTAATGCATGCAAATTGGATTCAATTAGCGGTCGACTACTTTTTAAAATAGAAATAGACAATTTTTGTTGAGTTGATGCTGAGCTGAGCTGAGCAAAAGCTGAGCTCGTTGTCGCCGCTGTGTGGATAAATCTCTGTGGCCATGTTTATGGATTTTGTGGAGTGTGCTGTAATACCTAGCTCCTGCTGGGAAGGCAGAGTACTCAGTCTCAGTCACAGCCACAGGGAAGGGAACTCCAAAACGCTAAACTAAAGCAAATCTAATTTGGCGAACGCAATTGTCATGTAAAAGCCACTTACTGACACTGACTAGCTAGCTAATTACAGTGGCTGCACTTGAATACTCACGAGGGAGGGGGAAATGGGAATATGTGGGACTGTCCGAGCAATGCACGCACTTGAACTTAACCACACCAGGGATAATTCCCCTTCCGGAGATTGGCACTTTCACCCCATGAAAGGCTGGGAAATGTCATCTCCGGGTGAGTCATCAAGAATGCCAGAAGGGAATTCAAGGTGATCGGATCACATAATGGAAACATAATACACACAGAGATAGAGAGAGAGAGAGACCAACACAATCTCTCGGATGCAGCCCAGCATCCATCCATCAGTCAGTAGCAGTGGCCTAATGCCGAGAGATTTCGAAAGGTTTGACCTGCATTTTCGGAGCGGCAAATTAAGCTTAATCAATGCGGCTGCGGCCGCAAACTGACAACGCCAAACGACAACTTGACAAAGTGAAACAGTTTGGGTTTTTGTGCTTAGCAGAATTAAATTAAATCACAGACGGCCAGCGACGAGGTAATGATCCGGTGGCAGGCGATGACGAGCCACCAAGAGGGGCATGGACAGCGGGGTCTCCAGCAATGTGTGCTATGTGCTATGTGCTATGTGCCACCTTCCTGGTTCGTTGGTTCGTTGATTCGAAAACAAGTTGCGAAATGAGACGAGCGCTCCACTGATTCTGCTCCCAGCTTTCCCCCTCCGACCTCTCTATATCTCCCCCTGGGTAGTATTATATGTATCTGTGCCTGTTCCATTTGTCACTTTTTATCGTTGACAATGTGACGCATGGTAATAGTAATTGCTGGCACGTGAGCTGGCCGGACTGCGCCGGCGGCTTTAGCTTTAGATTCAGATTGATTCTACGTTTGATTTGGTTGCTGACCATGGCCCAGTCATGATGGGTTTTTCGGGGCAGGAAAGAGCTACCTTTCGGGTCATCAACTCCTCCTCCTGGTTATGCTGATGCTGTGATGCTGTGATGCTGCGATGCTGTTGATGATGGCCAATTATCGCGGCAACAATGTTTAGTGACAGGCACATCATAATGATTATTATTTTTATATTTCCTAGAATTAATGTCCACAGGTAATTGTCTTAATCCAAGCGACAATCTTGCAGAGTCAGCCGAAAAAACAAAACGCAGACATACAGACAACAAAAGAAGTGTTAAAGGAACCGCCGCAGACGGACAAAAAGCAGATACCAAGATACATGGATACAAAGATACACAGATACAGAACTTGGAATGACCATAATCTGCGCATTTCAGCCAGGTTTTATTAACACCTTAAGAGACCTTATCAATCTCTGATCAAGCAGGAAGTGCATCCCCACATATGTTCCCTGAAAAGTCGCAATAGATTGCCCAACACAGAGTCAAAGACCAAAACCCAGACCAAGACCCAGGTCCAAGCTTAGCTAGCCCAAGCCAAACTAAGCGGAGCTGAGCTATTTATATATAAATGCATTTTTAATATATGCACATGCATCTATTTAATCGGGTTTCTTTTTTTTCTTAGCCCCATGTCCAAGTCGGTCCAGTCTGTGATCACACTGAAAAATCTGAAAACACAGTCTGATCGTGGCCCCTTTGGTCGCCAGGCCCATTTCAATTACAGTCATTAAAATGCGTGTCTACTTTAATTACAAATTTCAAAACAGCAAAAAAAAAAAAAAGAATGAAAAAAGAAGGAAAAACCATGGCCCATAGATTCTTCAGTTGCTCAGTTCCACGGGGAATCGACGCCAGGTTTCACTGTCATTGTCCACCCGGCTCGACTGGGACTGGCCAAGACAAAACCAAGACTGGCCAAGACTGGACGTATTATGCGACAATGACCTCTTTTCCGTGCTTAGGACATTCAAGGCCAATAACAAAGAGTTATGTATCCATGAGATACAAAGGCAAAGGCGAAGGCGACTCTGCCGCTTCTGATCGCAAGTCTAGTACTACAAGCTCTCTCCCTCTCTGTGTGTATTTGTGTGTGTGTGTGTTTGCACTTTTGAGGCAGTGGCAGTGGCAAGGGATGTGCCTGTGCTTGTGGCAAGCAGAAGACACTATGCAACAGGGTCTCATTTTTACATTTAATACTTGAAAGAGAGATGGGAAAGGAAATAGGGTTTACTGAAGAAATTTGATAAAAATTATTAATAAACGAAATCAATTCCTACTATACTGAGAGGATTGATCCCATCTAGGCAGAAGTAGGGTTTAAGATAACCCCAAACTCAGTTTTCTTTAACTTAGATTTAATACCCAAATATTACATTCTCTTTAGACTCTCCTTTAGTCTTTTTTAAGTAAGTTAAAGAGCTTATTTTTTGCTTAAAATATAGCTCAAGTCCTCGTATGTTGCTTAGTGTAATTACACTGCAGGACGATAATGATAATGCCGCGCGTCCGCCGGATCTATGCCAGAGTCTCCCCCTTGTCTTGCTCCTAGCAAAAGGAGGCTGACGACGACTACGACAATGTGGATGTTGATTGCAACGCATGTGCATTTTATATTACATGATAGTAGGAGGAGGAGGAGTCCCTACTCCCATCGTGTGTCCGTGGAGCACAAATTTATTGCCCACAGAATCTACTTGGATATCCTCTGGCTCTGTGCTGACTCTGTAGGCTCTGCAAATATTTATGCAAGTCAAGAGCATAAAAATGTCGCAAGAAAATGAGGAGACCAATGCCGACCATTAACCGACCACTTGACCAAGGCAAGTCTTTGGCTATTCCCCTGATGGCTCTTACCAGGGGGACTAGAGATCCTCAGCAAAGAGACCAATTTTCCAGCAGCAAAAAAAAGTTAAAATGTTGCCTTTGATGTGGCGGCTAGGTTAAAAAGAGATTGAATCTTGTTTTTAAATTATATTTCAATTATATTTCAAACCTTTTTTAATTAAAATTCTAATATTGGTAATGCCTTAAGTTACCTAGAACATATTTTGAATTTTTTGTAAACTATTCAAAGGTCCTTAGGATTGACTACTTAAGAAGCCTTTCTTCCTCTTCCTCTTAAATACTTGTTATATTTTTGTAACTTAAATATAATTTAAGTTAAGGAAATAACTACCTTTGCCATACAAAAATTTCTAGATTAAAACGAAGCTATTTCTTTAACTCATATAAAGTACTATGAACTTTGTTCTATTGAAAAATATATATAAGTAATTAATCTATAATTTTTCTAGAGTTTTCAGAACCTATTCTAGTAACTCTCCTTTGGAAAAACACTTTAATTCCCCTCCATAACTGATTTAGAGCATATAAGTCGCAGATCTATAACCAGTACCTGTATTTATTAATTACAAACATTGATTCGTTGTAAACATTTCTTCTAAAGATGCAATTTGCCATTGGCTATGGGATTTATTGTGGCGGCCCCCTGCCCCAAGTACTATTAGAATACGTAATTTTTCGCCATGAACAACACATACAGTTCACATGGACGTTGTTGTTTCTCAACCGTTTAGCTTACCCATGGAAATCATTGAGCAACTTAATAATAATTGCAATTATGCATGATTCTTTTTTTTTCTAAACGCAAAAATATTTTCAGATTATGAGATTCACTTTTCGTGACGACGACTGCGACGACCTTCAAAAGCATCATCATAAACGATAAACGATCGGTGCGGTTCAGTTTCGGGTTCTAGGTATTTCTAAGATACATTTTTGTTGTTGTTTGTTTTATTTTTTTGCAAACGTGCTTGCATTACACAATCCCTTCGAAGGATCCTGACAAGGTATGGATTAAGCGGTCACAGGTAGTCGTAGGTAACAGGTAACAGGCATCGCAGAACCCAAAAACCCAAGTTAAACCCAGATACAGATACAGCTACATCTTTAGATCGTAAAAAAAGCAGATGTCTCTAAATTGGGTTTCCCTTTTCTTATCACCATCGTGGTCTCTGTTACTAGCTGGGACCATTAGCGGTGTCGTGCTTAAATTATGGTGTTTCCAAATCCAAATCCAGATTTAAATTCAAACCCAAATCAGAGCACGTTTAACTAAAGAGCAGAGCAACAGTCTCTCTCTCCCCTTCCCAGAACTTTTCCGCTAAATGATTGTGTGTGCTGTGACCTTAGAGACGACCATATCGTAGTGTCCATTGTTTGGGGCTTCTCGAATATATGTGTGTGTGTATCTGTGTCTGGAAATGTATCTTTCGGATGCGATTATGGATTTTGTAAGCGACAATTTAAGCACTGGAAAGCCCTAGTAGTATTCTATTGCGAGTGGAACTTTCCATGGTTAGGCTTGGGCATCCTTTTTTAGTTTTTGATTTCTTGGTAGAATCTATAAAAAGAATCCAACGAGAGAGAGACCGGGCATTTATCATTCTAAGATAATCAACGATCGGTATCTAGAGACCCATGTCTGGCAGGCTTTGATTATGTTAATGATGCTGCCTCCTCCTCCTCCTCCTCCTGCTCCTGCTGTAGCTCCTCTTCGATGCACTTAGCCTTGTATCCACCTAAACTAGTCTCTAGACCCGGCACCAACGTCTTTGATTCAACAGTAGATGTTGTCTATACCCTCTCATATATATCCCATATATACAACCTACTCCAATACCGGTTTTTTGTGCCCACTCCTGGTGCTCCTCGAGCTCCTCTAGCTCCTCCTCTGGCTGCTGCTCCTCCTGCTGTTTCACTTACAATTAAGCATTTTTCTTTGGCCCTGGCTGATTGCTGATATTATCGATGGTCCCCACTTGCATTTGAAAATCGTGCTGCGTTTAATGATGCTTATGGCAATCGATCAGCGATCCTGGCAAAAAAAAGGGGGTTATAAATAGCAGGCCGTACTTGGGACAGGAGCCTCCTCTGGCCACTGACCACTGGACTATCTGTGGTCTGCCGGTCTTACAAATTGCATTCGCTTTAAAAATAGACAACACCGCCGCCAACAATTTGCTGTCTATTTATGGAGAAAGGGTTCTGCTGGTTTTGGTTCTTCTTAGAACTAAAAATATCCACAGTCCTGGGCAACCCACCGCGGGAATCCTGTCCAGCTCACGTACCTCTCTGCCTCGGTCGCAGTCGCTGCCTCTGCCTCTGCTGGCTTTGCTGCTGCTGCTGCTGCGATGTTCGTGCCTAGCACTGAGCTCGATCTGCTCTGTCGACGCCGGCGTCGGTATATGGCGGTAGGTATATAAACGCCCCGGCTCACTGGCATCCACTCAAAGTGTTTCTTGAAGCCGAGCGGTGAGAACACACACAATTATCATACACACACGCACACACACACACCCAATACACACACACAGATACACACACGGGCCGGGATTAAGAACCAACAAACAACGAGCAGTTACCTACAGATTCTTGTCTCTTTACCTAGTTATTATTATTATCTTTTTTTTTGCATTTTGTATTTGTATTTTGTGCGAAATCCCGGATAGAATCCTCCCAACACCGGGTCAAGATATCGTGAATCAGTGCCTACTCGAACTTAGTGTCCTTCGTCAAACGTCGTGTTAAAACAACTAAGGAAAAACGCTCCTTGAAAAAGGTATGTATGGTGCTTAATCCTGGAAAACAAAGATATGCAGAGAGAGAGAGAGACTCCTCCAGCAAGCCAGTTTCTTTTGGCCAAAAAATAAAATTGAAAATCGAACACCAAAAACCCAGTGCCAGACAGTATTTCCCAAGTGTTCCTCAACGAGTTTTATATTTTTTTTTTTGTCTGTGGCTCGTAAATCATAAAGATCGTATCGCATATCGTATCGTATTCCATTCCTGCCCCACACACTCAACCAGTTACGTAAGACGAGACTGGAGACTAGAAACTGGCCACTGGAGACTGGAGACTGTAGACTGGATTCCAGGCCAGCCTTAGAGCCAAGAACGACCGTCTAGAAACCATTTAGTTAGCCTTAATTAACAAATTGGGCTATGATTATGATGCTGTGGGTCATAAAAAAAGCAACGGCATCGAGTATAAATTAGCATAGGGAAGTGGCCAAAAGCAGATGGCCAAATTTGCAAGTCACTTTTTATCAGAGATCAAGCCAAGATCGAATGATATTTTTGCATATTAAGAAACCATTAAAAGATCGACCATTCTACCCATCAAAAGGACCCAGAGAATACAAGGGTACAAGGTCCACCCACGTAGCGAGAATTCAATTGTGATTTTCCGTTGTCGGGGGCTAAAATTTAATGATTTAATGGAATTACAAAAGAAATCAACGGAAATGATGATTGGGGAATTGGGAGGAAAAAAGCAAAGTATAATACATACAAAAAAAGAGAGATAGAGGAAGAGGAATAGAAGGTACCAGTACCCACTGGGGGTCAGTGTATTCTCTAGTAACATCAACTATCCCGGCTAATCCAAGGCCTTTCTTCTCTCCCCTCTCTAATTGCAGATGAAGTTCCAATTACTTTTTGTGGCCACCGTGTGCCTGACCTGCGTCTGGACACTGCCTGTGCCCGATGAGGAGGTGGCCATTCAGCCAGATGGTGGCTCCAAGGCTGAACTCTTAGCCAAGACCCTCAACCCAAATCCCATTGAGCCGGCACCAGCCAAGCCAGCTTTGGCTTCAGCTCCTGCTTCAATTCCCGCCGAGAAGAAGCCCGAGGCAGAGCCAGAGGCAAAGATTGAGGCCAAGGCCGCTGCCACTCCAGTTGCTGAGCCTGCTGCGGAGCCGGCCAAGGAGATCTCTAATGTTGACCTGAAATCGACGGCTCCGGATGTAGAGACAGCTCCGGCCATACCCGAGAAGAAGGCCATCGTTGTTCCCGAGGAGCCAGCCAAGCCTGTTGAGGTGGCCAAACCCCAGGAAGCAATTCCCGCCGAGAAGAAGCTGGAGGAGAAGGAGAAGACGGCACGCACCGAGGAGGCACCCAAGGCTATTGAACTGATTGAAACACCCGCCTCCAATGCCGAGGTCCAGAAGCAGATTGTCGATGAGGCCAAGCCCCAGGAGCCCAAGATTGATGCCAAGTCCGATGCTCCAGCAGCCCCCGTTTTGGTAACCGAACCCGTCGCTGCCGCCGATAAGGAGACCATTCCCGAGCAGCCCGCCCGCCAGGAGAGGATCAACGAGATTGAACAGAAGGAGGCCAAGAAGGATGCCGCCCCTGAGCCAGCTCAGACTTCTGAAGCACCTGCCGCCGCCGCTGCCGCACCCGCTGAGGCTCCCAAGACCGAGAGCAACATCCAGGTGATTGCTCCACAGGCCCAGCAGCCCGAGAAGAAATCTATTGAGTCCGGCTCTTCCTCTGGTGCCACCTCCCCCGGTGCCCAGGCTGCCCAGGCCAAGTCTGGCGAAAGCCCAAAGCCCATCCAGCCGGTGGATCAGCAGAAGAACACCGAGACCGTTGCCGAGCCCGCTCCCGTGCTGAAGACCAATGCTCCCCTGGCCCCTTCTGCCGCCACTAAGGTAACGGAGCCCGTTAAGGAGCAGGCTGAGAAGGAGCAGCCGGCAACCACCTCTGATGCCAAGGCCTTGCCCGAGAAGAAGCCAGAGCCTGTGAGTGAGACAGCCGCAGCAGCCATTCCCGAGGCCAAGAAGATCGATGAGACACCCATTGCCGAGGCCGTTGCCGAGCCAGCAGCAGCAGCACCGGTTCCTCTCCCCACGCCCGCCGAGCCAAAGAAGTCGTCGGAGGAGAAGTCGGACAAGTCCGAGTCCAAGAACGAGGACTCATCCGAGTCCAAGGAGTCGGAGGAGAGCAGCGAATCGAAGGAGAACTAGAGTTAGTGAGAGCTTTACACCCATGCCTTCTTCACCCAGCACCAGCTCCCCTTTACCATCGCAGAAGCTAAGATCCAATCACCCCGAGCACCACCACCACCACCACCAGCTGCGCCTTGGCAGCGTCTTAATGTTACGAGCGTAGTTGGTGGTACTCTTAGTTGTAAATGGAAGGAAGCACAGAAATCACACACACCACGCCCACACACTGAGTATGGGAGGAGCCCAAGGATCCAAGTATCTGGAGGCGACGGCCCAGGACAATAGAATCAAGTGGGAGGAGGAGGACGACGGGACCCACTAAGTAGGAAACAACATGAAACACAACACACACACACACACACAGGACAAACCGCTAAGATGGCATACAGTTATACTTATAATTATAATTTAATTAATGTAATTTTAATTAAATTTTAGTCATGGCAAGACAATACCCAGCACCCAAGCACCCCCGAACCCCCTTCCTCCCTCCGACAACAAAAGAGAAATGAATCCATGGATCCTTTTTCAAAAGGTCCTTGGAATGAAGCCAGAAGCGATCAAGCATTCGCCCATCACACACACACAATGGAATTCCTCCCCCGACCCTTTTTTTTTTATTTGAGTTCTAAAATAATGCAACTACATTTAATAACGATAGTGTTATAACGTATATATGAACGAAAGTATATATGATTTTATATAGACTGAGAAAATTCTTAAATAAAAATCGAAAAACTAAGGCTCAAGTGTTTTAAATTACAAGACTAGGGTGCCCAGAGCCTGGAATTGCAAGGCAATAACAATATCTCTATAACTTGGTGACTAAATCAGGTCAAAACTATTTCTTAAAATAATTTTGCACAAATTTTTGGCAGTATATTCCTCATATCTTGTGATATTTTGATCTTGATACTTGTCTGAGAGGCTCAACTGATAAAGAAGCCCATCTTTAAGCTCTGAACCTTTTTCCTTCTTCCAAAATACAGTACTGCCCAAGAATGCCTTTATCAAACAAACAAGGTACAGCATGAAAAATCAGTAGTAGCACCAACTACCTAGCCTCCTTACTACTATTTACAATTATATGTAATTAAAAAACAGCATACCGAGTAAGTTTTAAACCCCCCCCCCCTTGGTCAAGATGCACTTATGCAGTATTAAACCAGTTACGGATCAATCAGTGTTAAAGTCACGCTGCTGGTAAGTACCTCCCCGCCCAGAGAGCTATATGTTACGTCGTATCCATCGGCTATGGTCGCTTACCTTCTGAGTCAGCATCTGGCAGGCAATGACGCCCAAGGCCCACCAGTCCACTGCATGGCCATAAGGTTCGCCGCACAGAATCTCCGGTGCTGAAATGAGACGAGAACGGAGAAAGAACGTTTTACCCACCCGCAAAACAAATAATAAAAATAACAAGAGAGGTCAGAGGTCATAGGATCACAAAAAATGTTATCTTCGGCTCGCCGAATGTCAGAGATTAATATTACAAGGTTTAGCTAGAAATAAAATGAGAGATTACACAGCTTGATACACTCTCCAAGTGGAGTGATCACTTTGAATCTCTTTATAGATGACCGGCTCCCGATGGTTTATTATTATTCGATTATTATGCTTGAAAGGCCAATTACATTTCGACTTTGAAAGTGCGCTTCAAAGGATTTATTCGGCTTAAATCGATTTTACAATATTAGTTTAGGTTTTAAAGTACATTAATTGATTACTTTTATAGCTTGGACATATAAGAAAACATTGATTTACATACATATAGATACATGTCTATATATTTTTGCAACTCTATGGATACATAGAGTTGCTACTATCATTTAATCACTACAAGTACAATCACAATCTTTTATACATACATCATCATCATCATTAGCGGCACCATCCAGCCTTTTCCCGTGGCTTGCATCATTCATTTATATCATTTTTATTTGATTTTTTGTTCGCCCTTTTGCGTTTCATTTAACTGCACTATTTACAACGGCGATTAAAAGTGAGTGTTTTAATGTTAACACTTACATTGATAAATGTATTGTATTTGCTTTGCCGACACAGGTATTTATTTGCTTTCTAGCCAGGAATGCAACGTCTGCTGGCCTAGCTCTGCTTGGTTTTGGGTTGGAGCAAGGGACACAAGGGTCATTAAAGCGATTTGGTGGGTGGGTTTAAGCCGCATTTCAACTAAGGATATGGTGGTATCAAGAACCCAATCTTCCTTTACACAAGTTCAACTCGAAGGCTGTTTACATTACTCTATCTCTCTCTCTTTCTCTGTCTAGTTGGAATTAAATCAATAACTAATAAGTAAGTAGTTGATAAAACGGACACACAATAAATATTTGACTACCACATACTTTATCTTATCACCATTGCAAATGGCTCTCGCCCAAAGATAAACTAAAATTAGAGGCGAATGGAGCAGCAGCAGCAACTATTACAGAACTAAACATATGCGAGAACAAATAAACGGTGGACACGAAACGAAAATGAAAACAAAAACTAATGTAAAGTCGAAAAAAAGAATAAATAAACTCGTAAACGCCACCTTTGTGACCCGATGGTGACCTCACGAGGCCAGCCCGTCACATTGCGAGCGTTTCCTTGATGATCTTCTTCATCGCATTCCCCATGGAGGGTGCCGCCGATCCCGAGGTAGAGTAATCAAACTTGAAGAGATACGGCTGCACATCGGGGAAGGATGTGTCGAAGATCAGGTCCAGCTCACTTTGGCTGGGTGTTTTGGGTACATAGTCATGCCGGTTCATTAGCTCGGTGATGTATATCACCTTTTCGGTGAGCAAATCGGAGACATTTTCGCGGCAAAGCTGGCGCTCATCCTCATTCTCGTGCTTGATTAGATCCAGATGCACCGTCCACACCTCCCATGGTATCGACTCCTGTGGGAATGGCCAGCGGTTCTTCTTTTTCTGGAAGAACTCTAGGCTAATCTGGCCAGAGCCGCAGCTTTCGTTGGAGCGCAGTTTCTCGCTGAATGAATTAATGGCTCGCTTCACGCGATGCGTCAGGCTGTCCGAGGTACAGCACACATAGGTGAAGTCAATAAAGTTGCAATCGACGTCCGTGTAGCCAACAGTGCCAATGGAGTACTGGGCATCGCCCGTATACATGTACTTGCCAAGGCAGCGGTGGAAGAGTACTGTGTGAAAGATGGTGGCCACCGCTTCGTCCACCTGGCGACCCTCCATGGTCAGATCAAACACTTGCGAGCGTGCATTCATGGCTATCGGTTGCTATGTATACGGAATGACTGCTCGATATGATTTGGTTTGGTATATATAAGGTTGTGTGGATTTGTGTGTGTATATATGTTGTGCCCTTGCTCTCTCTTGAAACTGCTACCTGCTATGCTTTGTTTCGCCTCTTAGTTTGCTGGTAGTTTCGCCTCTTTATAGTTAATGGCTCACAGATGCTTTTAGTTGATTACCTCTTAACTGTCTTAACTTCCGATCGATTTACATACATACATAGGATAGGATTTAGCTTAAGCTATAGGTGACCTATATTTAACAGGAGTTTATGCTCTCTAATTGTCTATACTGCTTCTGTTCCCCTTGCTTCTAAGTTGCTTATATTGGGCTTTCTTTCGGAAATACCTTTGAACGATTTGGATTGCGATGGATCGGCGCCTCTTAATAGCTAACTAACTATTTACTTAAGTGTCTGTTGTAAATTAAGTTGATTTAAATCGTACCCATGTATTTGAAAGTGCCACACATGGTGCGCGTGTTGGCCCCCAGTTTGAGCCACTTGCTGAGGCCGAAGTCGGTCAATTTGACGTGAAATTGATGCGTTAGCAGAATGTTCTCCGGCTTGGCATCACGATAGATAATGCCGGCGTTGTGAAGGAAGTCTGATGAAATTAAAACCTTATATTGCGAGCTCTTTTAGAGGAGACGATACCAACTCACCCAGAGCAAGAGCAATCTCACCAATGTACAAGCGCACCAGGTCAATGGAGAAGTGTCCTATCTTGGAGAACAATTCACCATTTGGTACATACTCGGAAACTGCTCAGGAAGGAAAGTTTTGATTAGAATTTTATGTATCTCAGATCGCTGTCTACATACGGATGTGCAGGTTGTGTCGGTTTTGCCACAGATCAATCTGCTTCACAATAAACGGATGGTGACCGCACACCTTTTGGATATCCGCCTCGTCCTTAATCTGACGCACACTGTTGTCCTCTATAAGCTGAAATATACATTGACGCGTTATTAAAAATCCATTTATGGGAGTATGGAGGATACCTTTGATTTCTTTAGCACTTTGAGGGCGTAGCAGGCACTGCTATCGCTCTTGTCGCACACCTTAAAGACCACACCAAAGGCACCCTTGGCCACCAGATGCTCAAGACGAAACTGTTCGTTCCGGCTGGACTCCTTGAAGTGCGAGTTGAAGATGGAATTGGTCAGAGGTCGATGCCAGTGCGTCTTGCTGCGTCTAGAGCCATGTAGCGATGTCAAGCTGGGGGAGAAGAGCATATTTAGTAAATCGGTGCTATGGTTCTGGTCGTGGAGCAGTAATACCTCTTGCGGGTGGCCTTGTTCCGGTGGCGGAAGGAGTTGCGGGCCGCGGAGAAGCTCCAGGTGAGTCGTCCGCCGCCAAGACTGCCAAGACTCCACGTGGAAAGCTGCTGTAATGGAATTTTCAAGTAATTAAAACTGTCTATTGCTATTCCATGGCAAATGGAAGCCAACTAAGAGGCCGGATTACGGATTTACGGCAGACCTGAGCCTTTTTCTACTGTTACCTGGCGGTAATTCAGCGAATCAATATACACAGAACCCCGTATACCTGAGCACGGATCTCTGCTGAAGCGTGGAGAGCGTGTGTTATGTGGTATATGCGATGTATAATCTGCGTTCTGAGCTGAGCGGCGACACGTGCGATTTTGCCATGGAATATTGGCAAACAAACACAAGTCGAAAGGCGAGGAGCACTGTATATTCGTTCGCATGAACCAACAACAGCTGAGATCGCAAAAGAGAGCGAGAGAGCGAATGGCAGTCAGGCCACAGGCTGACAGTGGTGTCCGTTGCAAGTGTACAGGTACGACTAGCGAAACTTTTCGTTCTTTTGCACTGTATGGCTTGGATCCAACCAGGAACCAGTGTGGTTTTATTTTTATTGCTTTAAAATTTAAACTGAATATTTTATTTTATTTTAATTGTTTTAATTTAGAAACAAAAACCAGTTTTTAAGTTAATAGATTATAAAATAATAATAAAATTCATTTGATGTAAAATTAATTAAAAAAAAATAATTAAAGTTTAAAAAGCAATAATAATAATATTCCTTTAAAAAAGAACTTGCCTCGCATTGCCAATATTTTCGCCCACCACTGTGCTGAGTGTTTTCTTTGCGTGAGGGTCACTCGAATGTTCGCACACTCTCACCCACTCACACTCACACACACTGGCACGCACACACGCGCGCGCCACATGTCAGCACTTTTTTGGAACGAAATCACAACGCGGGAGGTGAACTATGATGATCCCCAGCTGTGGTGGGCCACGGAGCTGGAAGTGGACACACGGCGCCGCCAGAATTTGCGCAGCGAAACGGGGAAAAGCGAGAAACGAACGGTAAACCGAACGCCAGACACTCAATTGGCATGGCAATGAAAAAAATGCGCGGCGTACGCGAATGCGGAAGCATTAGAAAAGTGCGGAAACTTGGGGCAATGTGGAGGAGCAATACGGGTTCATGGCCGTTTAGGCGGCATGCAGAAGAATCATCAGCCGGGGCGGCGATCAGTTCGTACATAAAACGGAGCCCGAGTCGTAATTTCGTTCGACGGGGAAAATGCGAAACCCAATGACGCAGTATTTATTTGCACGGGCATTGGAAAACAGGCCAAGCCAATGGAAGCGAAGGGAAGGCAATGTAATGGATCGGTTTGAAGGGTTATGGCTAACAGAACCAACATTCCGAAGAAATCCGTTATCAGTCTGTCCTACTTTCCAGGGCTCCTTCTCTCGCTCTAACTCATTATTACCTGCTGTTGCTGGTGTGACTGCTGCCGCTGCTGTTGCGCCTCTGCTGCTGCTGCCGACTGCGAATCCGCTTCTACTGCGACAGCTGGTGGGGATTGGGTTTGGATCTGCGCCTGGGATCTCCTGCTGCTGCTGCCACCGCAGCCAAAGGTTATCGATGACGTCGCCTGCTGTCTCTGTTGCTCTTCTGACTGCTGCTGTTGTTGCTGTTGCTGCTGCTCCAGCGGCTCGCTCAGTTCCGCTGCTTCTTGAGTGCCTTGCGGTGTCCTTCTGCTCTCATGCCTTGGTTGCGAGTTGCCCATCAAAAGTCTCCACTCTTCCAATCAATCTCCTCCGGTTCCTCTGTTTTACCGTTTACTGTTGTTGTTTACACACTAGCACTGTCACTCGCACGCACACACATACACAAACAAACACACACTGGGCTGGAATGGAGCTGAGGTGGTTGGCGCGGGGGTTGGGGCGCTTTCGATTGCGCAATCACACAGCTGGACAGCCCCAGACAGGAAAATACGAAAAAAAAGCACTCACTTCACCCTTTGAAGAAAGAAACTAGAATATTCGTGTTTAGGAGCGGATTCAGTTTCTTTTTTGATTATTGTTACGCTTTGTTTTTGTTGTGCTAGTGCGAATGAGCCAGCAAAGCAGTGTGACCAGATGGCAATAGGGCGCGAATCCCGAATGTTCTCGACCAAACATGAAGCCACACCATACATTATTAATTTAATTAATTTTAGTACTTGTATAGCTCAATTTCTATAAAAAATAATAGCTCAATTTGACAGCAGAGACTGTTTCTGTGTATATAGAGATATTATAAACATAAAAATCCCACTTCAGTGAATGATAAAAAGGAACTCAATCGGGGTAAGTTGCAAAAATGATTTCAGAGTTCAGAGTACGTATAAATTAATGTTTTGGATTTATATATTAAAGGGGCAGTAATTTAAAATAATAAATGATAATATAGTAGAACAAAATATATATATTCATATCTTTCGACTCAATTCTAGTTGCAAATTTAGCAGATGACTCCTATGCGTCGTTCCCAATGCGGGGAAATATATCGCAGATAGTTTCAATAATTCGCTTTATATTTATGTTTCATTTATGTTACAAAATAAGTTTTAAGTCAACATAAAAATTAGTTATAAATGAATTTAAAAACAAAAAATGTGAAGACATAGAATCTATCGACTTAAACATTTTTTAAATGAAAATATGACTTTTTTCATTTAATATTTTTGTTTCAAAATTTTTAGAAATATTAAATGGGGTAGTGAAAAACATCATTAGCGAAACAAACTAAATGTTTCTTAATATTTTTCTTTTTCGTTTTATATTAATATAAAAAATGAGTAGCTTGAAAATCGAGAAAAACAATAATAAGAAGAAAAAAATTAATAATTTAATACCCAAGAAAAATTATTTAAAACATCGGAGACGAAAGTGCCATCCCTAGTGTCTGTCCAATACCGTTTGAAAACTTGAACATCGATAACTTCGAGATGGCAGAAATGTGCCTATCGATGTTACATCGCCGTTACGTCCAGCTCTATTTAACACTGCAGCCGAATATTTGGTTTTTCTGCAGAAACTTAAAATTCTAGGAATATATAAAGATATATATTCTGAGTAATAGTCTGCGTTACAGTACGCATTACGCCAACGATTACCATGGACCTCAGCCTGGACGAGATCATAGAGCGAAAGCGCGGGTATGGCGGCCGTACCGCCGACAAGCAGTTGTAAGTATGGAGCATTCCGGGCGGAAAAATGGCGTTGCACTTCGAAATGCACAACCATTGACGACCGTTTTACATTGCAGCAATCCGAGCTATACGAAGCCCCGCAAGCTGCTCAACAAGCCGCCCTTTAAGGCTGGCCAGTCGGATAAGTCTGTAACGCCGGCACTGCGCTCCTTTGACGCCCGCAACAAGATTATCCAGAAGACACGCGCCAAAATAGGAGATGCACGCGACATTCTCAATCGGAACATTCGTGACTCTGGCATCGACGCTCGACAGCTGCTGCAGGACCGCAAAAAGATTCGCTCGTCGCCGCCGCATCTGGCTGGAGAGGTCAAAGACGTGGAGCCCCTGTCGGCCCGTATGACACGTCTGACCAGTGATGGTCGTTCGAGAATGGTCCAGTTCAGGCAGCGCACGGTCATGATGTCGGATCGTTTAGGGGACTGGGACCAGGACGACGAGGCCGTCGGGTTAGGTGGTCACAATCGGCCCTTCTCATCTAGACTGAACCATTCGGCCAAACCATTTGCTCCGCATGGCTATGTTGATCACGATAACATGCAGGATCTCGAAGATGGTAAGCGTGTGGCAGAATTGTTAGATATACCATTTCACGCGTTGATCTTTCAGAGGAGATATCCCGCACATTGCATCTCGGCAACTATACAAATCAGCCGCCGCCGCGCTACACCTTTGGCGGCTTTGACATGGACCACGATGACGACGTGGAGATGTCCACGGCTCCGTTGAAGAACAATATTGCCAGTGATCCGTTTGCCGTTTACGAGGTGGCTCGCAATCGAATCGAGCGTCCATCGCTGCCGGCACCGCTGATCGTTGGACGCACAGACACGGGCGAGAAGCTCTTCGAGCGCCGTCAGCGCAACATGTTGTCAACCACAAATCTGTCTGACTCGATGCGTGCTCGTCTCTTCGGCGCTGAGCCGGACCGTCGCGTATCCCATGGCATCTATGCCAACGAGAACAAGAAGCAGGCCGGTTACGGTGACAGTGGTGGCGCTGGGGCTGTGCGTGGTATTTCCTCTCAAACGATGTCAATGCGCCGTGTGTCACCACCAACGCCGCTGAGCGCGGCAAACAGCAAGGCCGGTTACCGTCTGCTGGTAAGCAATCTGCATGCCAAAGTGACCACATCGGATATTCGTGAGCTCTTCAACGACATTGGACCCATGTATGATGCCCGTGTGGTGCGTCCAGGCACTGCCGAAGTTATTTACAAGACATTGGAGCACGCCGAGATGGCCGTTGAAGCTTATCACCACCGCGAGTTCGATGACCAGCCCATGCATTGTGTCCTGGTTAATCCGCACTCATCACATCGCGCGGCACGCATGGCCAGGTGAGCTCTTAATTATGTTGCTTTTAACATGGTATTGTTTGACATTTGTTTTCATTTTCGGCAGCTCTCGCACTGTGACCACAAATTCGTCTGGCGTGGAGGTGGATATCGATGCCCTACACTCGGTGCTTTTCCGCGACCGCTAGGCAGCTATTGAAGCACGATTAGGCAATTTTCCTGCTCCATCAGACAGCGTTGCAGCATCTGTACTTTCCAACTCAGCGCATCATCTCCTTAGCTCTAAGACTCACACCCTTTGCGCTGTCGAATCACAATCTAGCCGGCGTTGGTTCAGTAAATTAGAAAAGATGAAATCGTTGCGTGTTTTCATTTGGCATCACAATTCGATTTATAAATTACATTTACGATATATATTATACGTAACGTAACTATCGAGATATTTGCTCTTCTCAAAGTTTTAAGTTCTTTTTTATAGAAGAAAAGTTTGATGTCTTCAAAACATCAAATACAGTTTGGGAAACCAAAAAAAGCAAAACCAAGATGATTATGATCTAAAAGGGAAGGTAGGATCACTTTTATCACCATTCTTGGAGGACATGGATCCATAAACACATGACTTCATAAAATATCATTTCAATGGTTTAACAAAGATGATTTCTTAGAAGAGAGTGTGGTAATTCGGGTATACCTTAGCAATTGTTAAGGCAAAAACCCTATAAAAACAAGATGACTAAAGCCATACGAGTTTTCTTCTCGCAGCTTTCTGGTCTTCTTGGTCTAAAGTAAATTAGCTTCGACCCAGTGATGTTACAATTGCTTGTATAATTTTACATAAATGTACACTTTTTAAATTTCATAAAATTAATTCATAATAATTAATTAGAAAGGAGCTGGTTTGGTAAGCGGTTGAGAGATGCAAAAAAAAATAATAATATATGTATATTATATAAAGTAACTGGAGGCCATTAGGAGGGACATTAGCAAGTTAGTTATCCCGGATTCCCGTGCCGTAGTTGGCACCACCGGCACGATTCAACGCCTCCCGGAAGAGTTCAATGTCCAGCTCCGCCTCGACGCCCGCCTGTAGTTCCACAGCAAAGTTCTGGAAGATAAATTGGAGATGTATTTAATTACATGACCAGAGATGATGACGGGACTCGAACTCACATTAAGCACATCCTTGATGAGGGCCTTGTCCGTGGACATCTTGGCCCGCTGGATAACGCCCACCTCCTGACCAATCCACGTCAGAAAGATGAACTTCTTGCGCTTGGACATCTCATCGCCCATCTGTATGCGGATATAGCCGAAAGCGCGTTCCGCATCGCCAAATAGCTGGCGGAACTGCTCAAAGCACTGGCCACGATCATGGACAACAATCTGGGGTCCATCGAACTTGAATACCGCCCACTCAGTGTCTGTGAGATCGGAGCGTACGTCCTCGTAGGCCTCGCGTATTGAGTCCTTGTCCAGCGAAGTGGCCAGCGGCATCTAGAGAGAGAGATTGAGTGACCAGAGAGATTAATCACAACAGTCAGAGTATATATTCGAGTCTGAAGAGAAGTCAAGCCCGAATCGCCATTGCCATCGCCCCCGCCAATCCGAGCTATTGTGGCAATGACCACGCATGGCACTGGGAGCTGAGGAAGCGTAGGTATACGAGGCGCGCCTGCGCACTCAGGCTACTGGCCAAGTGTGCTCTTGACGGCGCCATGAGTCAGCCCCCACTATCTGGAGGAGGAGACTTTCGTTTTTTTCCTTTTCGTTTTCATTATTGGCTTCGATTTTTAGTTTTATTTCACTCAATTGGCTATGTTTCCGTGTCCAAGGCACGCTACATTGCATTGCTTCTCACTTGGATTACCTGGGATCAGTCGGTGGGATTCACGGAAAGCCAATTTGCTCGGCATTTAGTGTTTGGCGAAGAGTGGCTATTGCCTTAGCTAATATAACGTATTACATATGGCCTTTAATTGCACATGAAAGTTATGAGTATTCCACATGAATGGTTTATATGGTATATATTGTAGACCTTAAGTAATACCATGAACAAACTAATTACTTTATACAGTTATTAGTATACTTTTTAGTCTTATTCCATTATCAGTTCTATATACTTTTAGGAAATCAGCTTGGGGATCGATGCCCTTAATACACTCCGGCTTAAGTGCCTCTTTGGGGTAAGGGCCTCCTTCTTTTAGACTGCAGCTGCAGCTCCAGCTCTTGGGTCTGGCTCTTGCTCCAGCTCTGGTTACTCTCTTATTGTCTTAAGCGGATCGCTTCATTGAAAGCAATTTACGCGTGACAATTTTCAATCAACAGCGGGCAGAAAGCAGGTCACAGATTTGATAAGTGACTTGTCGTTGAATTTTTGGGGGACCACAAACAAAGAGAGCTGCCTACGCAAGCTTGGGAGTTCAGAGGATGGAGTAAAAATAGATGCGGATACAGATACAGATACAGAAACAGATTCAGCTACAGATACAGATATATATATATAAATATATACATATACAGATACAGATACAGATACAAGATCAAGCGGGAGCTGAAGCTGGTAGCTCCGCTCCATAATGCGTTCAATGACCGTTGTACGGGCATCGTCTTGTGAGAAAAATCAATTAGAAAAGCGCAAAGCGATTTAGAAGAGTAGAAGAGGGCGCCCTGGCCGCAAACGAAGACTCCAGCGACGACGAAAATATCAAAAGCCAAACAATTAAGCCCCAGAAATGAATTGGGCGACGACTTTCACAACGCACTCTGAGAACTTGGCCAGGTCGCTGCCGAAGAACAGCTTGGAAGCTCCCGTTTTGCCATCTTTTTTTCTGAATTAATTAGTCCACAAATGCGAAATGTGGACAGAAATTGTGCCGAAAAAATAGAAACCTAAACAGCGGATGGCCTGAAAGCTAAATGATGAACCGATCAAGAGCAGAAACCGTTGCATCCACCTGACCAATTCACTGGAATCGATGACTAATGAGGGGCACTGCTCTCCTCTGTCCCCTGAAGCACATACATACATACATAAGTACGTGTGCAAGTGGTTCTGGCTAAAATTAGCAACTCTACAGCCCGATAAGCCCGATAAGACACCATACATATAGCAAACCTCAGGCCATATCTGCCAACCGGCGACAACACAACAAATTAGATCACGTCAGTTCGGATGCGACTGCGCCTTCCCCCCGAAAGTCTTTGGGCCTGGCTAGGCTAGGTCTGGCCACAAGATATAGGTGCTACTCCTACAGGGTCCACCTTGGTGTGGGGTGCGGACCCAGAGTTGACGTAATATCTATGTTTTCATGATAAGGGAAGAGCCGACTCGAAATTGATTTATTACGGAAAGTTCTTGGACCCGCCCGATGGCACTGATTACTTGTTTGTCTCCACTGCTGTTGTTGGATGGGCAGAAAGGTCTGGGATTGGGACTGGGTCTGGGATTGGGTCTGGGTTTGCGCCTGTGTCTGTTTCTGTTACTGGCTGGGGCAATTAGTGCCAAGTAAATCGAGCAATTCAAGCAATATCTGGCAATCTCGGTCTGGGCTGTTCCAATTTTACACATCATAAAATCCGCTTAAGGCTTGGGTGCTGCTTAGTCACAGCCACGCCATTAGATCGCGCCTGGAGGTGGGTCACTGATGGAGAGGCTCCTGCGGCCATAAGTTGCATGCTTGGGAAAGCGAGAGTGTGTGTCATTACACAAAGAGAAAACGAGGGTATTAAATAGGGATTAAAGTGAGTTGGGAGACAGGCAAAGCTTTCTCTGAACCGTAAACTCTAACTACTCTACAAGACCTATACTCAATACTATCTACTCAGATATCATCGTTTCTATATTGAACTTAGACAAGACTGTATATTATATGAATCTTGATAATATATGGAGTAATTATACATCTGATAGTCTCCGCCTTTCCATATCAAAATTGGACAATATAATGTCCAATTAAAGTGCATATCATATATTATTTCTTTGCTGTGTAGCATTTTTCAACCGAGACCATATAGGGAGCGATAAACAGTGGCACTTCCATAATTGATTATTGGTTATCGTCATGACTCTGCTCCGCTCTGAGCTGGAATCTGGCGAGAATCGTTCGCATTGCTTATGAGCTGGATTTCCTTGGAGCAGTTACAGCACCGGAAATCTGTATGTATATCGAGCGGAGGTCTCTCCTCCTGACTAGGGGGATTATTCATTCGGAACCCTGACTGGTGTCGGATCTAATTTGATCGTGCATTCCGAGTAGAGCTCTCCCGTGGCTGGAAATGGCATGCGACCATGTCCAATAGACATGTACGTAATGAGCCATATATGCACTTGTGTGTGCATCCATATAGCACACTGCATTAATATGTGGATATTTCGTATCCATCAATATCAGCCCCTCTCAGCGTTAAAGCGTAGCCAAGCATACTGCAAATAAACCTGCCGACGAAAACGAAAACGAAACCGTAGCCGTAGTCGAATAATAAATGAAATGAATAATAAAAAAACAAATAAGAAAAACAAAATAAAAATGATAATAAATATGTGTACACATATTTTTGTAGCGAGCAGAGTCAGGTGCAGCTGAAATGTAACTCCTTCTTCATAGAAATTCCGGGAATTACGGCATACCACACATAATAAGGTATATATCTCAACACTGTTCGATTTACTGGAATGGTTTCATGTTGACTAATGTGTATATTATTGAGATAAGGAATCCAAGAGAAAGGCACATAATCTCTGAGTCATTCGGAATTTGTGCCTGGCTCCTGGTTCGACTTCTACTCCGCCTTATTCACAAATGTCCACGCAAAATTATAGTTGGAAAACCAAAAATTAATAACCTAGAGTTCAATGCCTCTGTAGGATTCGGATTCGGATTCGGTTTCGGTTTCGCTTGGACTTGGGTAGATGTCAATGCCTGGCCTGCCTGCCTGCCTGCCTGCTTCTGCTGCCTGTTCTTTTTTTGTGTTTGCTGCCGCTCCCTGCCTCGATGCTCCTCCGCCTGCCAAAGGGGTAGGAAACAAAGGAGCAAACTGTGTCCAACTTACTCATGCTCACGCCCCAGACCGAGACCCAGACGCCAGATGCAGATGGAGATGGAGAGGAGCAGGCGAATGCAAATGGGGTAGAGACACATGGATGGGGCCTGTGTGCGAATGATTCATGCTGCCATGAAGGTGACGATGACGACGATGATGATTTTGGGAGTGAATGACCAAAAGTGGCGCGTGAGGAAGCGCTTTGTCGGGGAGCAGGACAAGGAAGAGGATCACTCACTAATGCTCACAATTCTCTTCTGACCAAGTTGACTTTGGTTTATTTATTGACCAAACCTATCTATAGGTAAAGCCCCTCCTCGTCTGTTTCTGGTTTCCATGCGATTGGACGCAGTAACCGTCAGAGATTAGGTTTATGGTCTCCCCGCGGCACTAAACTCCGGTGCAGTCACATGAACCAGGGGGGATCAGCTGAACCCTCCCCAGAGATAAAGCACTACGCTTCCGCCTCCTCCACTCTTTTGCTTTCCATTTCCAGCGTTGGGATTTTGACAGCTCAAAATGTGGCGTTATCTGGAAAGGAATATGGGGTTGCCAGGGCGACAGAAAACCGCAATGCATGTTCGGATCACAAGCGGATCGGTGGCGAGAACGAACAAGTGCGGCGGCGTCGGTGGCGACGGCGACGACGACGCACTTGAACTTGATACTCAGTTCGATTCGCATCCGCCCCCGCACGCAGTCTGAGCCGCTCCCCATTCCCCCTCTCTCGAGCGTCGTTGCCTGTCCTTCGTCCAGGGCCGGTTCTGGTTTGGGTTTCGGTTTCGTCCCAGACGACACTCACGCATTGCCCACAGATGCAGATACACACAGAGGCAGACACACAAACACACACACGCATGCAACAAAGGAGAGCAGCAAAGGAGAGGAGCAATTCCAGAACTCCACTCAGCTCCAATATTCCAGCCTCTCTCTCTCTCTCTCGTTCTCTGTTGCTCTCCAGCTCTCTTTGAATCTTTTTAATTCTTAATTTTCGGCTGTCCCCTTGGAGCACTTTATTCCATTCTATGTGTGTATACATACTGCGTTTATGCAAGGTTAAATTTATGAAGTGAGCAGACATTTGCTAATCTTGTCTGTTATTACTAACATAATATTTGCACTAAGTAATCAAGTCCCTATTTGGTCTTTAAGGAAATTGCAATATTAATACGAATTATAAGAACAAATTGCGTATTTTGAACTCTTCAGCAAGGTCAACAATATATGAATACAATACTTCATGTTTTAAAAAGTTCGTGAACTTTGGCGCATAAACTAATACGTTGGCGGGGATGCAGGCTGCAGGAGAATAAGAAGGAGATGGACACTCACCCTGCGCGGCTTGCTCTCCACGATTTGCTCGACCTCAATGCCGTCCGACATGCTGGTTGCGGTGAAGATGGGACGCTGGGGGGCTGCTGCTGCTGATGCTTAGGATGCTGGGATGCGGGATCGCGAGTAAGGGAGAACGAGGTTCAATGAATCCCGAAACGGCGCGACGCGACACGGATCAGAGACGAAGCCGGGTGGTGAAGAGGGGGCAAACAAAAGTGCCAAGTAAGTGGCGAGGGGTGATAGAAAAAAAAGTGTAGTACGGCAAAAAAAAACAACAAGCACACACCGGGGGAGGAGCAGGAGGTAGAGTCCAGAACTCAGATCTCAGCAAAAGAGCGGCGACAGAACAGCAGCGGGAAACTCCGACCGAACAGCACGAGCTTTGGTTCACGAATGTGGAGCTGCCGGCGGTTGCAACTCCAACGAAGTGGAGACCGCCAAAGTCGGCAGCGCAGTCGCGTTGCGTGCGAGCGAGAGGCTAAAGCGTTGCGGCAGAGGCCACAAATACATGCAATGGGACAGACAGAGATAGCAGCACGGGGATAGAGAGAGAGGGAGAGAGCAAAAGAGAGAGAGCGAAATAGAGAGATCAAGAGCGACGCGTCTCCGCACTTGGCTTTATATTCAGTTTCGTTTTCATTTTCATTGCATTTCCTTTATTTATAATGAAATATTGTTCTACATTTCTTTAAAATGAAATTTTTTTGATGCTTCACTGTTTGAAACCTAAAATGTTTACTTTTTGAAACTTTCAATGTATAATGTGGAATTTAAGAAATACATTTTATATAATAATATATAAATGAGAATTAGATAAATTCAAGAATGTTATAAATGTAAAAAAAACAATAATTATTAATAGTAATTATTGCTTAAATTTTGCAAGCGAAATATGATTTTGTTACCTAAAAGTATGCTACAGAATATAAGTACCTAGAGGTACCTCAAGGTACACAAAACTAATAAATAAATTGCATGTATGATTAAACAAGAAATGAAAGCCTATATTTTATGATTCTTTAAAAAATTATTATTATTATTTCTTTTAAAATGTTTTTAAAATATGAAATTATGGTTGCAAACTTCTAACCAAAAACAAGTTTTTATACCCTTTTAGGGTATTATAACTTTACTCAGAAGCTTGTAAATCAGTGAAGGAGTCATTTCCGACCCTATAATTCATATATATTCTTGATCAGTATTACCAGGCGAATCAATCTAGCTATCTCAGGCAAAAAAATAATTTTCAAAATTTTTTCAACATTTTTAAAAGGGTTTCATCGTTAAAATTGACAAAAATTTTACAAAAAATTAAAAAATTTTTAAATATTAAATTGAGTAAGCAGAATTATTGGCCTAATAAAAACTAACATGGAAAAGCTTACCGAATTAAAATTAATGATTTTTTGGCTGAGTTATGAGTGTTTTAAACTTTAATTAATTGAACAATTTGCCATATAAAAATATCGATAAATGTTAATATAAAAATGCAAATATTTAAAGCTTAGCTATGATTGATTTTCGATTCGATCCTATAATTCAATTGAAAACTGCAGGTGTATATTAACCTGTGCTTCTAGAAGTTTGTTTTCTTTTTTTAATATTAATTAATTTAATAATCAATTAATAAATCCACTAAAAATCGCTTAGCATCATTGTTTTTCCAACTCTACTTTCTTGTTCCGACCAGAAGTCGGAAAAGCAACTGATGTAATTAGCTGCAAACATCTCCACAACAAGCGAAAGCAATGCTATCTCTGGGAGCTGTGTGTGTGTGTGTGTGTGTGTGTGTCATTCTCAGATTTTCCGGGTGTCTCTGGCGGAATGCCAGTGATTTGATTACTGTCTGGGCGATGCACTTACAACGGGGCTAAGCCAATCTGTGTCCACAGCCGGCATCCATGTTGCTCGCAACATTTTGCGCGCCACAAGTTGCCGTGGTGAGTCTGCGCCAGTTGCCACAACACCCACGCAACATGTTGCTGCCGAACAGAGGCATCTCCGGCTGCCAGTTGCCCATCGCCAGTTGCCCTCGACGCGTTAGACGCAACGGAAGCAGGCTATACGGGAGCCTCGACCTGGTCCGCGTCAAGTTCCCGAGTTCCGTAATTCGCATTCCGTGTGCTCGAGTTCGTCCAAATCCTGCGCGCAAGCGTCCTCACCTAAACTCCAGTTGCAGTGTGACTTTAGTTTAGTTATTTTTTTAACTGTTTGTTTGTTGGTGACCCTGCTGCTGCAGCTGCTGGTGGACATGACCCGCCGCTGTGGCCAGTGCTAGGAATGTTCGGCTACGGGGAAGGCGATGGCGAGGGCGAAGGCGATGCCGACCAGACCTCCATGACGTCGGCCGTCTACCGGGCACTGCTCGACTACTACGCCAATGTGCCAAGTGCAGCGGGACACATTGTCTCCCTGACCATTGGCCCCTACAACGACACAACCGGCTCCTCCATCTCTCCCCTCTTCGCCAGCAACAGCACGACTTTTGATGAGACGGATGCCGATTACTTTGCCACTCAAAGGTTGGAGAACGACTTGGTCACGGAGGTGACAACCGCTGGCTTTGCCACCAGCACGGATTATGGTTTCGGGGATGTTAGTCCCAGTCCTGCATCTGGCAGTAGTAGCAGCAGCAGTGGCACCGGTGGCACAGGCATGCCCGTCTGGCTGATACCCAGCTACAGTGTAATCCTGCTCTTTGCGGTGCTGGGCAACCTGCTGGTCATCTCAACACTGGTCCAGAATCGAAGGATGCGCACGATCACCAATGTATTCCTGCTCAATCTGGCCATTTCGGACATGCTGCTAGGTGTGCTCTGCATGCCGGTGACATTGGTGGGCACACTGTTGCGCAATTTTATCTTTGGTGAATTCCTCTGCAAGCTCTTCCAGTTCTCGCAAGGTGAGTGTGTGCCCAAGTTCCTCCGGTTGCATTTCTGTAATTCCCTTGGCATCCTTTTCTTGTGTGATTTGATTCTGAGAAATGCATTATTAGTTCTGGGTAGCAGCCAGTTAGCCTATCCCCAGAGGCAGCTTCTAGTGTGGTGACCTTTATCTGGTTAAATTCTTTTGTGTGCCTGCCTTGCGTAACGAGCTGTCCCTCATGGAGCTCCGCCACTCACCTCCATATTTGCTTAGCTGGCCCAATTGTTGGGCTGACGTCAAAAGTCGGCTCGGTTGTCGGTTGTCAATTAGTAGAAATTACAAAAACATAAGCAGCCGCAGGAGCGGAAGGAGCAGGAGGTAGCCATATGAGCGTAGTCTCTGTCTCTGTTCGTGCCAGAAGCATTAAAATAATTTTTTACGATTATCGCCGCATGTGGATCGTTTTATTGACTCTGTGTCCTGGAGGCCAGGACCTCAGCATAAAAACAAGTATGGGTTCTGTGGGGGTAGGCTCTGTGTGGGCGTAGCCATAAAATGGAACACATTGTCCTGGTTTCCTTACCCCTTTCAACGCTTAGATTGTATTTTCTAGCTGGCGACCCCGCGACTTCCTGGTAAGCCCAAAAAGCACGCACAAGGCATCAAAACCCCGAGTCTCCTGGTGGTAGTCCATGAAAAATTCCAATCATAATATTAGGATTTGTTATTGGCAGTCATTGTCGTCTGGCTGCGCATACTTTGTATCCAAAACGACCAAAGGGCCCATAACATAACTTCAAATCAAACACTTGTCAGCAGAGTCCAGAAAAAGAGAGACAAAGGAGATGGAGCTGGACCAAGAGCAGGATCTATACCAAGGCCATGGAGCAAGAGCTCTATTAAAAAGACATTTGCAGCCTCTCCGTCTCTGCGACAAAGGACATGCGGCGGCGGCGGAGAATGTAATTTAGGTGCTCGAGACAATTAACTGGGATTTGGTCGCCGCTGGCGACCGTGTGCTCCACTCATTGTTGTTCATGTTTATGATGGAGCCGCATTAGCAGCGGCCTTCTCCCACTCCCAAAATGTTACTTACGAACTAAACTGGGAATGTAACTGCTGTAAACAAGGACTTGTGGGTCCAATGCCTAACGTAATGCGTAAAGTTCCAAGCTAAGGCTTAAGTCTGGTGAGGAATGGAAATGGAAATGGTATAGAGAATGGTCAGTTGTCCCCTGTCGCTGTTGGTTTCAATTTGTCATCGTTTTCGCTTTGGCATTTAGTAACAGTTGCGCAGATTTTATGGCTGTGAAATCCTGGAGGAGGGATGATCTCGTAAAAAAAAATGGAGGGAAATGTAATGGAAAACGAAACGGAAGTGCGTAGCATACATGGATGCGCAATTTATAGCTGGCTAGAAAAGTGTAGCGCACTTTTGGGAGCCACAGACACACAGACGAGGTCTTGCCACAATCTGAGAATTAAATAACCATTTCAATGGCCAGAGATGGGATTGGGAAGGGAAATGGTTAAGGAAGGTGGTTAGGGGATGGTTAGGGGAAACTGGGTGGGCTTGAAGGAGGCCATAAAAATGGGGACAATGATATAGACCGACATGGCGCGCTCGCGGCACAAACACCTGGGAACAGCATGCAACATGCTGCAAACATGACAAGGGTCGCGGCGAGGTCTGCAATTACATCTAGCAGGACAACACCTGGTAGCTCCATCTCCCACCCACCGCCCCCTAATGCCCCAAATGGGGCTGACATTGGGTAAATACGGGAAATGAAATATAAAAAAAAAGGTTAAAAGCGAAGCGTAGGCGGTACCTCTACGGACTTTTCTTAAAAGCGTGTGTGGTTACAATGCCAAGGCGCTGGTTCTTAGGAAAAAACATCCTTACAATGTCCTTGAACAGGATAAATAAAGAAAGAAAACGCAAACACACATATATATCTATTCAACCAGTTTGGCTTAGGCTTTTAACCAGAAAAATAAACCACATAAACGCAATTTGTATTCACCTTTTATATTTAGCTTTTTATTGGAACGGGAAAAACAGCATTTAATTATTTATTTATGGGGATAATACTCATGATTATAATCAAGACATTACTAAGGGAACTGAAATCGGGTATCAATTTAATGAAAAAGACTTAAGTAAACTTTAAACAAGAACAAAAAATCACATAAAGCAATTAGTATTAACTTTTATGTTAAACTTTTTATCTGCACGACTTTATGAGGCAAGTAAAAACGGAAAAACAGTATTTAATTATTTACTAAAATTGATAATTATCAAGACTTTGATTAGGGCACTAAAATCAGTTATAAACTTAATAAAAAACCGTTTAATATTATTTATATTTGATGTTTTCCAATTATTTTTATAGTATTTTTAGCATTAAAAATCTTGTCAAAGTGCAATCTAATATTATAAGTTTAGAACAAAGCCTAAAAATCCCCCCTGAAATGCTTTATCAACTGGCAGCAAAGGTGTCCTTACTGCCACGTGGAACAGTTGTCGACGGCAATAAAAGCCTCGAAATACTTGCACTTAAACGTTGGTTGAAGTTTGGGCCAGGACCCCTTTTGTCGTTTTAATACTCCTGGCATATGTGGTGGATAACTGATCCGCCAAAAAAAGGTCATTGCCTGCTCACGTTCATACACACACGCACACACATGTACACACACACCCTCCTCGGAGTCACACTTAATGCTAAGCGCCAAAAACCAATTTCTGGGGATCCGTTTTTGGGGCCGCTTAAGCGCTGGAACATGTGTTCCCTGGCAGTTTTTCTTCTTGTTATTTTCCAGGGGGGGGGGGGGGCGGTGTTATGTCCACACATTTGGGTTGAAATGCAAAAAGTGTCGCTTACAAGCGTTTCCGTTTCCGTTTCACTACCAAATACCGTTATGTCGCAGGCAGCGGACAAGCGTAGAACAAGGCACCTGTATGTGGTTTCTGTTTTTTCTTATTTATTTATATTTTTTGGGTTAAACAAACACATACCAAAGTCAAGGATGAGGCGTGGCTCTGGGGGATTTGCTGGAGCAGCAGCAGCTATGCTATGGCCTTGTTTGTTCTGGCTTAAAGTGCATGGCAAAGTCCTTGGGTAGCCTGCACAATTTGCCTGATGAGTTTTTAGCCATCAGCGAACACTTTCTCCGGCTAATTTTTTGTTTTTCACTTTTCAAAACTTGGCTCCAGGACTTTGGCTTAACGTTCTTGCGATTATTTGTATTTTATATATACAAAAAACAAAAAAACGATGTTAGCTGAGGATATAGAAGGACTTTTCCTGAGCCTCAGCCTGTGCCGGCAGCTTCTGCTCCATCTTTATATCCATCTGTATATACTCCTTCTTTCATTCATATCCACTTTGGCCCATTGGAACTCCCATTGGCTATGGCCATGCCAAAAAACTTAGGGCCTCAACTTTGTCCCTTCAGCGGCTTTTGTTTAAGAAACTTTCATTTCTTCTCCTACTTCTTGGTTCTGTCTCAGTCTCAGTCTGTCTCTCTGTCTCTCTCTTTGGGATTTGTTAAGCATGAAGTTTTTTAATTAATGCACATTTGGCTCTGGCTCTGGTCCTGGTTCCCTCTCCATTTCCATCTCTGGAAACTTTCATTTGCTTCCCACGTGAAGTGGCCCGCAGAGCTGGATAGATACCGAATGGGAAAAACACTTGGAGAACAATATTAATATCACCGAGACGCTCGGCTGAATCTGCTCCAGACATGTGAAGATTGAAGAGATGCCTTAAGGTTCTGTGGGGGGGGGGAAGTGTGGGGAATCACCTTCACTTGGCTAAGTAGCCGTGGCAAAGTTTTGGCCCTAGCAGCCACTTTAGAGTACTTAATTCGATAAAAAGCAAAGCGCCAAGCATTTTACCAACTTTGTTTCTCTTTCAACTTAAATAGAATTTTGGGCCAAACTCCTCTGATTTTATTTCTCTCGTCAAACTTTGCCATCGGCATGCTTGGTCTTAGGCTCAACCCCACTCCACATTCAGTTACTGAGAGTCCTGGCTCAAGCTCCTTCTTCCCACCCCCTCTATCCAGTTACAGAGAATCCTGGAAATCCCTTCAACATTAAAATGAATGCATTTTGTAAGGCTGAATCATTGAATTTAAATGAGTTTCGCCTCGATTCCTTTGCCAGATATTGAATTGAATGAATGTACATTACATGGACTGTACATGACTGTACATATATCCTTTTGGTGTATGTAGAATCTCCTTGCTCAGCCAAAATTCCTGACAATGTGGACAATTTGCAAGTGAAATTTATATTTGTATATATGTATATATGTATGTGTTTTTGCCACACTCAAAGCCAAGTGGCTCGAAATTGAGCGGTTGATCTCCCCCTCTCCCTCAAAAGAAAATCAGGGTCCGGTGTGTGAGGAGTGTCTGAGAAGTCTGCCTGTCAGGACAACGTGTCAAGCTGTGCAATCACCATCCTGTCACACCAGCTTAGCTCTCGAGCAACTTAGTGCGGAAAGGCGACCGCACAACCAGTTGTCAATCATGTGAAATGGCGCAAAAACTAATTTAAAGACGCGAGAATTTCCTAATTTCAGGTACAGACACACACACAAGCACACAGCTCAAGGAAAATCAGGAATGTGTGTGATTACAGGACACGCAGCAGGAGACCATCATCCCCCTCCTTCTTGCCTGGTCAAAACACTTTTGCTTGTGGTCCTTTTAGTTAGCTTCCAGCCCACTTTCTGCCCCCTTTTTTTATTTGCGGCAATCAAATTTTATCACCCAACTGACGCTTATAAATTCCGGCCTGTCAGAGTCGCATATTTATGCGGGCGGCCCAAGGACCTGGGGGGGACTTCATGTCGTATGCGTAATATGCTCAACACGTCTGGCACTCCCACTCCGTTAAAGGCGTGCTGCCCGGCCAGCTACGCAGAAATCAAATTCAATCAGTTGCCAAAAAAAAGAGATATATATAGATATATATGGAAGGGAAAGGAAAACATCTTGGTCGAAGGGGAAGCAGGGGCATCAAATTCAATTTGGGTTCGTCATTTGCCGCTGCCGCTTTATTTGCTGTCAGTTTTGCATTTGCCAATTGAATTAAGGGCAAGAGGGAGACTGGAGCACAGGGAGCACTCGGTGGCCACCACTCACATGCAGGGGCACTGTGTTCTTGTACAAATTGTATTGGCATTTCGAAATGATTTAGTTGTCGAGACGCGAATCAATCAAACTGCTTTGGAGCAGGCGCCAAAAGAGAAAGCCTTAAAGTCGATTCAAACACAAAACACTCAACAAACACCTTAAAACGGCTGTAGGGACAGGTGAGGTGGCATTTGTTTTAAGTTAAAGCTTACGCCTTTCCCCACCCCCTCCCTCGTGCCGTCAATCAACAGTAAACAAAGTAAAACTTCCATTTTTGGCTCTGGGGTTAATTCAACAAACGCGACTCTCTCCCTCTCAGTGTGTTTGTGTGTGTGTGAATGAAGCCCCAGGACATGGTTCCCATTGTTTCCATTGTCCAAATACCATCACAGCCACAGTTTGCACATAGAGCCATCGATATTTGCCAGTTGGAGGCCTGCACTCAGAGAAATATGTGAAATTGTAGTTTGGCAAACTTCTAAATTTCAATTATTATAAAACTATAGTTCTTTACAGGTAAAAAACACTCTTTGCTTGATAATGATGTACAACATTTTCAAGACCTTGAATCAAAACCTTTGAATAAAGTATTGAATTGACTTAGCATTCAAGTTTTATTTGAAGTGTAGCCTCTTGTGTGGGAGACAAATGTTTTGTATGAGGGGAATCCCTCTAATAGGTTATGGTACGACCTCAAGGACCCGACAGGCGCGAAGGAGTGTCGGGGGAATTGTTTAATTGCAGCTTGCACAAATTGCAACGTGTCCTGTTTGTCACATCCTTGCCGAAGGGGCACAACGGGGGAGGGGAGGAGATTTGCTGGTCTTTAATATGCAAATTGCGTAATTAAAATGCAGAGAGTGCGGGCGACAGAGTCCTTTAATGAATGCGATTTGACACGGAACAAATTAAGTAGAGGAGTGGGGAAAACTTGGCCAACTACAAAGCACAAGATGTCTAAGGTTTTCATGTTTTCATCCTTGCAGCCGCCTCTGTGGCCGTGTCTTCATGGACCCTGGTGGCCATATCCTGTGAGCGTTACTATGCCATCTGTCATCCGTTGCGCTCACGCTCCTGGCAGACAATCAGCCACGCCTACAAGATCATCGGCTTCATTTGGCTGGGCGGCATCCTTTGCATGACGCCCATAGCCGTCTTCAGTCAATTGATACCCACCAGTCGGCCAGGTAAGTCGAACTCCATGGCCCTTGCATCCTTTATTCTTTACTCCCGATAAATGCAGGCTATTGTAAGTGTCGTGAAACGTGGCCCGACCAGGGCTACGAGCGTTTCTACAACATCCTGCTGGACTTCCTGCTGCTTGTCCTCCCATTGCTGGTCCTCTGTGTGGCCTACATTCTCATCACGCGCACTTTGTACGTGGGCATGGCCAAGGACAGCAGTCGGATTCAGTTGCAGCAGGTCAGCACCGGAACTGGCACTTCCGGCGGCATCACAACAACAACAGGTCCTGTCTCCGGTGATGCTGGCGGTGCTGGCGGTGCTGGCACAAGCAGCAACAACAGCTGCATCCTGGTGCTGGCTGTCTATAATGGTGGGTTTAACTTCTCACTCTCTCCTTCTCATTTGAATTTCATATTTTTTTTCCAATACTTTGATCAATACAGAGAATAGTAACAACAATAATGGCGCTCCTTCCGCTTCCGCTGGAGCACCAGTGACAACGAATATGGCAACGACAACACTGACAACGAGAGCGGCATCTTCCACGGTGGTCACAACCACAACCACAACGGTGACGCTGGCCAAGACCGCTTCACCTAGCATACGTGTCCATGATGCAGCATTACGCAGGTGAGAAATAAAGTCAGGAGCCAGGAGCCAGGAGCCAGATTTTTTAGGTTTCAACAACGAATATGATGCTTTCCCCTTAGATCCAACGAAGCCAAGACTTTGGAGAGCAAGAAGCGTGTGGTCAAGATGCTGTTCGTCCTGGTCCTGGAGTTCTTCATCTGCTGGACACCTCTATATGTGATCAATACGATGACCATGCTCATTGGGCCAGTGGTGTATGAGTATGTGGACTACACAGCCATTAGCTTCCTGCAGCTGTTGGCCTATTCCTCCAGCTGCTGCAATCCGATTACGTATTGCTTTATGAATGCCAGCTTCCGACGCGCCTTTGTGGACACCTTTAAGGGTTTACCTTGGCGTCGTGGTGGCGGTTTCGGAGGAACTGGAGCCGGAGCTGCACTGTCCGCCAGCCAGGCGGGCTATAATCCCAACACCAATGCGTATCCCAGTCTCAATCCCGGCATGGGCACCTGGCGGAGTCGTTCCCGTCACGAGCTGCTCAACTCGGTGGTGCATACAAATAGTGCCGCTGCTGCCGCTGAAAGTCCGCAGCTTTAAGCTGGAGCGGAGACACCGGCTGAAGCGGTGTAAATATGTAACATATATATAGCTATATGTGTGTATGTTTTTTTTAAGGGGAGTATTTTTTTACCTACATGTAATTATGAACGTAATCGTAATCGTAAATTGTAATCGTAACTAACTCGGACGCTAGTCTATTGGTGTTTCAATTGAACTTCCTAAGGTTGCTGCAAAAATAAACAAAAGTAAAACTGACCATTAAAGACATGTTGCGGTTGAACGGAGTATCTTTCTGGGTGAGTATCTCTCTGGGAATATCTCTTTATCGGTGCGACGCACACTCATTCATTTCATTTATCATTTATGGCGCCCAAGTGAGCATTTTAATTGCACTCTCTCGGAGCAGCCCCAGAGGGAGCAGGACGACAGTTAAGTTGGGCACAAGCCGCTTATGTCCTGGACATGGTGGCCATTTCCGAGTCCGGATTCGGTGTCTGTTTTTGGGAAGCTGGTCCTTCAGCATGTCATTTATACACGTGACAGTCGGCACGGTTCGTCGCCTGGTCGAGTGCCCGATGGTGACAATTAAGAGTCAAAGCCACCACAAGCCAGGGCCTGATAATTATTTTAGAGTGCCAGCAAGTAAAGAGCACTCGTCCTTGTCCACTTGTCATGCAAAATTTCAGGGAGAATGCAAGAAAGTGATAGGAAGAGAGTGAAAGGAAGAAAGTACAAGGAAAAAAAGCTACTCCCAATCACTAGGCAAGAAAAATGAATATATCAAACCTAAATCTAAACTCTTACTGGTATATCCAGAGAGAGATTATAGAGAATAGATAGTTAACTTCTAGTTACATTAAGTAACTATGATCAGTAAGTATCTATGACCAGTAATTATCTATGAGCAGTAAGTAACTATGATCAGTAATTATCTATGAGCAGTAAGTATCTATGCCTAGTAATTAACTCTGAACAGTAAGTATGTATGACCAGTAACAATGCTTAGTAAGTATCTATGATTAGTAAGTGTGTATGATCAGTTACTAACTTTGAACACAAATAAACAATGACTTGCAACTTTTGTAACACAACACATATCTGAGACCTGGCCGGCAGAAGTCACTTCGTTCCGGGGATGTTAGAACTAGTTGGGAATTATATGCGCAGACGTGCGAAATTTGTTTTGGAACAAATTTAAGCTATTTGAATAAAACTATGGAGTTATTTTAATTTATAATTTTACTACTGTATAAATCGGAGCATGGCAAATCGGTGGACATATATTTATATATATATATCTGCCATAGGAACAATCGGAAAATTTTAAGAAAAAAAATTAGAATTTTTCCAGTTTTCAACTGATCTTCATAAAATTTGATATATAGCCATTATAAATTAATCTGGAATTTTGTGTGTATGAAAATCGCACGACTATATCATAACGATCGTTAAAAATATAGGAAAATGCAAAACGGTGAATGAAATGAAAGCAGGCATTACTTCAGTGTTTTTTAACATAAATATATATAATTTTTATTGTATGAATTGAATGAATGAATGAAATAAAAACATAGAGATAGAGAGCGAGAGAAAGAGAATGAGTGAGATAGAGAGAGCGAGAGAGATAGAGAAAGCGACAGAGATAGAGAGCATGAGAAAGATAGAGCGAAACATAAAAACACCAAATAGCTAGGAAAGAAATATAAAGAGAAGAGCGGCATTCATTAAGATTTCGGATAAGAAATCGACAGGCGGCAGGCCTAATTGGTATCGTATGTATTAATCAGATGAGAAGGCGTGTGCAAAAAGGATATACCGAATTTAAGCATAAAATCCGTCAGCAAACAGAATTGGCCCAAAGCAGGAGGCCAAGAGTAATGAAACGAGGCGAAAAGCTGCAATTTGTTTTATTCATGCACATAACTTTGACTTTGGCAGCGCCAAATGTGCACTGACAGACAGCCGCTGGCGAAACTGTCGTCGTATGCAGAAAAGTGTCCACGACTTGGGTCGTTACAGAGTCACTCCCTCTTTCCATCCTCAACCGGATGTCCTGGAAGATCCGGAAGATGTATGGTCTCAAACGAGCTGCCTGAGAGAGAGAGAGAGAGAGAGGGAGCCAGCAAATCTTCTTTGCGCTTTGGTTAATTTAATTTATGGCGAAACCAACACACACACACACAGATACAAGGCTAAAAGAAAAAATACTACGCGACACATTCGTATAATCAGGATAACAGCCTTTGGTGGTTGTTGGTCAGGAGACGAAACCAGATACAGGATATGACAATGTTATGAGAGTCCCCGCGTCTAGTTTAGCTGTTATTTAATTTATTTTATATTCCTGAAAGCCTTCTTCTTTTCACAAGAAAGGAAGCTCGCAAGGAGCTTCTCCTTTGGAGGAAAGGAGAACTTTTTTCTTACTGCTTTTGCGACCTCTCAAGATGATGGGTTCTGTGTCCTCTTTTTTATTCATGACTTGTTTTTTCGCAGCGTCAACAGATAGAGTATTTCTAAATGATGAAACAGGAACACAACAAAAACTATAGCTAACTTCCTTAGGTGGAATTTCCCCCTTATTCTATTCTCTGGCTACATTTAGCTCTTGGGTTTAGCTAAGTGACGTCGACAGCTGCTCCTCCAATTATAGTGAACGTTAAACGATAAATTCTGTTACCGCCCAATATCCGGGAAGTTTATCTAATCAAACTTGCAGATGTCCAAACATATATACATACATATATATGTGTATACAGGCCACACTCCGCCGTAAACGAGACTCTAATCAAATACGTATAAATATTCACGACACGCTCTCTCGACTTGCTGGGAAGCTGTTAGGCTGTCCGGATGGCCGGGGGGGGCAAACCATCGGTGGCATAAACAAACACTATAGAGATATGTCCGACAAGTGTCCAGAGAGGGGAGGAGAAGGGAAGGAACGAAGGAAGGAAGTGGCTGACCCGCCAAACCCTGGCGGCACAATGACGACGATGATGATGATGATGGGGATGATGATCCGACCTGGTTGGGTAAGAAGGGGCTGCCAAACAATCAAAACCACACGCAAATTTCACTTTCGATGAGGCTAAAGTGTGCGTGGAAAGCCTTTCTCACCCCTTAGTCCAACACAGAGACCAAGGAGCAGGAGAAGAAGGAGTAGTCAGTGCGAGATTCTTGACTATAAAGAGCTGATTAGAAGGCATGTGTGTGTCCAGGATCCGGACAAGTGACACGGCCATTAATCGGCCATGAAAAGTTGCAGGCTGTGTGTGTTCTGTGATCCCCCGGACTAATTGTGCGTGGCCCATTCATTATTATCCAACTGTTGGGACAGCCAAAAAGCAGGCATATCCCTCCAATAGCAGCTCCTTCAAGAACATAATCGAATTGAGGCCACAAAAGACCTAACCAAGTTATTGAATATTCATAAACTGCAAAGAATAACTTTGACAAATGATTGGTCTTGGTATATATATATATGTATTAAATATTACATATATTTATATATATACCCCAAGTCTAGCTAGTGACAAATCTCTTAGCAGCAGTCTTGGCAAATCGATGAATTCATCATAAGGACTAAGGGGTGGAAAACTTCCCTTGTTGCCGACATCAGGTTATGCGAACATTTTTCATTCAACAAAGCCCATCCCTGATGGCTTGCTAATTTACTGCTGCTATTCCCGGCATTGACCTTCGGAGCCTGGAGCCTGGAGCACGGAGCACAGGCAAACGCCACCTACTCACGTCCTCCCGTCTATTTGGCAAGCTCATTGTTCCGGATGTGGCGGCTACCCCGGTCTGCTTATGGCATTGACGTGTTTGCTGCTGTCTACGTTGTTGCTCTCCGGCACAGCACGCACATCCTCCAGCATCCTCCAGCATCCTCCTCTGCTAGCCATTGCCCCCTGGGAGCCACAGCTGACGAGAGATGTGATGTTCTTGGAGAGACAAGCGGGGATTATGTAAAGCCAAAGCCCAAATAATGCGGCCTAATGTCTTTGGGCTGACACTAGGACAATTGTCGGATTCGAGACTCAGGCTCCTAGATCCCAGCCACATTGGCACGACCATTTCTAATAATAAATAGAATAAACGCAATAAAATATAATGGTAGAACTTCTTGGGGGAACAATTGCCATTTTGATTAAATTCAATTCTAGGCGACACACTACACATTTATGTATATAGTTTTTAGTATTAATTGTGAAGCTTCCTAGGAGCAAGACCCGGTTATTGTCCTCCCTGGTGTCCTTGCTGATGAACCACAATTGTTGCTTGCTTCCACTTGAAATTCCCACAATCGGATGCTTAATTCACACAGTAAAAAAAAATCATAACGGAAACAAAGTCTAAGTTGGCAGCGTGAAAATATAGCAAACTTCCATCTAAAAATTAATGTTTTAGGTCATAATTTGGATGGATTTGTTGCAAGTTTCAGACTTGAAGCAAAAACCAGAGAGTGACTGGTTTTTGGTTATAGCAAACCACAACAAAGTCAACAGCATAAATGAAATTCCTGGGCAATGAATTTTGGGTCAGGATTGAGTTGCACCCCTGGAGCGAGCAAATCTCCCGTGAATATGTCCACACAATCATCTCGGAGTAGCAGCTGCAAGGAGCAAAGGAGCAACGGAGCAAGGACGAAAGGAGCAAAGCAGCTAGGAGCACAAAGCGAAAGCTGAGCTAAACATTGTGGGAAAATTGATTGCGATCGACATGACTCTGGTTGGTATTTGTGGCCAATATACGTGACTGCATTTCGCTCTGATGATTGGTCTGTCGGTGTTGGCCATGATTATTATTGGGCAGACTAATTGCGGCTTCACAATATCCTCAAGGACTCGTTAGTTTCCAAATGCAACGTCCTGCAGACGGAATATTGTGGAAAGCTTACTCTTTTGGTCAGAATACACAGTGTGTAAAGTCTGTTAGGGAATTAGCTTAAGCAAGAAAATCAGGACAACAAAGAGGCAGGACTTTATCCTTTCTATCCTAGCTTTCTTCTCATTTTTTCCGCTTCTTTTGCTTCC